ATGCCAGATCATCTACTTGTATAAAAAAATATCAAGTTCCCGGGATCCGTTGATATGTACTGTCTCCATAAGGAATCACCTCCTCATCTTATTCGTTCATTATTGCCAGAGTGATCGTCGGCCTTGGCAATCGGTCCACGTTTCAACGCCCATGTCACGTCGCGTCACTTTTGCTGTTTAGTTCATACATATAACATATAAGACCACTTTTTAATTTTAATTCTGCTCCTAAAAAGTCACGGGAAATTCAAAAATATTAAGACCGAAAGTGCTGAGTAAGAACTAAAATTGTGCTCTCTGGATTATTGCCAGATGTGAATATTTTTAATCCTTAAGGATTGAGTCAGACGGAAACTGTATATTTCGCAAGTCATGTTGCGATTTCACTCTCTCCGGCGGAAGGTGCATTCTTTTATTTGTATCGTTCTAATTTTTAAATATTTATAAAAGCCACAGACAAAGCTGTCTTGGGCTGCAACATTTTTTTGTCACAATAGATACTAGGTATTTTGCTATCATCAACATTGGCATAGCGCACGACTCATTTTAACTGTTCTTTTTTCAAAGCATTTATTCACAAGAATGACAAAAGGATTTTTTGTGTCCTGTGTTGGTATTTTCCCGCGCATTTGATTTTCTGTTTTGTCTGTGAAATGTATGCTAGTATTTCAATGGTGCTTTCATTCTGCTAAAAAGTAAAATTAAAAACGAAAATGGACGTTATCTGAAGTAAAACTGCATTGTATTTTTAAACGCTTTTAGTCGTCAGAGGATTTCTCTATTTCCTTTTTATACGCGAAATTTTCATGGTCTCGTAGACATAAAGTAGACAATTGTCAATTGTCAACACTACCACATAACAACTTAAAGGTTCTTTCGAAACCGTTTTCATAATAATTAAGTAAATATGAGATAAGTACTTTATTACTTTGTAAATACAATATGTTTAATGTTTCATTACTATTTAGCGAAAGTGCTGCCAGCAATAGGATTTAGGGGATGCTCTGTCCAGTATCAGTGATCAACATTATTTTTATATAAGATGATGTATTTAGCAGTTATATACATCGATAATATGTTTATTTCAATATATATTTAGATGTTGTGAAAGTGATCTTTGTTCTTTTGAGCTATTTTTCAATTTTCCGCAAAAAATAATTTTAATTTGTGAATGTGGATGCAAGATGACATTTAGCCGTTACTTGTCACACTCCTTGACTGAAGTATCCTCTCGTTTGACTCAGCTAAGGGAGACTTAATCCTAGCCCTTTGTGCACACACTCTGCTTACTTATTTTAAGAATGGTGTAAGGGGACAAAGGATGTTTGATTTATTTACTTACGTTTTGAACTGAATACAGAAAACAAAAGCAGGTTCACAACTTTATAAATAACGCTTTTGCCGGATTAAAAGGAGATTTCTTCTGTGACGTTTTACAAACTGCCTAGTCACGGGTCGACGCTACAACGTTAGAATATAATTTTTATATACTCACTACGCTGGCTTCGTGACTCAAAATTTGTCTTGGCTTTCCAAAAGAGAAACAAATTTTTAAACAATTGTTAATATTCCATATTTATTAAAAATAATATAATTCACTATTTAGAGTAAAGACAAAAGACCAGCGATAAATGTTAGTTTATTTATTAGCTTTCGCATCTACCGGTTTAATCCATCCAGATTTACCCCCCAGCGACTTTTTCCTGTTCTAAGACTTCAAGAGCAATCTCGCTGGACAGAAGTTATGCGCTGACGAAGAGGTAATGGCCGAAACTGAAGCCTATTTTGAGGCTAAAGACAAATCGTGCTATAATAATGGTATGGAAATTTTTCGTGACCGCTATAATGGTTGTGTCGCTATCGAAGCCTCTCGAATAATCAAATTAAATTAAACAATATTTTTTCTATGTTTGTCTACGAACTTTTCAGCCCACCTAATAGTATGTAATAAAATCTAGAGCGAGTTAAAGTTAACATAATAATTTCTTACAATTAGTGTAATGTACTCTGCCCAGCTGCTTATCTAAGGAAAAATATGTACTTTCTATAGGTAGGTATTGCATTTTGTATATATATCTTTGACGATCAAAGTGTTTAGATAGTGACAAGTAGATTTATTGTTGGCATTGCATTATCTGTATAACAATAATAATACCTAGAATTACGAACAATGAAGTTTACGAAGCTGAATTGATAAACTATAAATATTTTATATAAATAAACGTTTAATTTCTTATATGGACGACCTTAGAATTGTGGGGAATGTTATTTACTTTTAATGTGTTGCCTCTGTTGTTCATCGATCTCAGGAAATACTGAAAAATTATGTTTGTCCTGGATGGTCTAACTATTAAGAAACCCTATATTAAAACATTACGCCACAACCAAATTAATGATACCAAAGCGCACAGCACATAATAAAACGGCAATGAAAATTACATGAAAAAATTAAAGTAAATGCTGAATTTACAATGCGTTACTTATTGCCATCGGCAGCCATATTGCAAGGTCGACATTCGAGATTCAAAAATAAAGTGTGACGCACGAGGTTAATGACCCCGTTTAGGAGTTTACAGTAAGGATGCAATATCAATCAGAGCAAGTTTAAAGTAATTTGTTTAGTATAATATTATAGTCTGTGACTGTCATCGTGTTCAACCCACACAGTAGGTGTTGGACCTAATTCTCGACCAAACAATGATGTTGCGAAAATAACTATCCAAAGAAGTAATATTTTTATAATCTCTAACAGTTTAATTTCAGGCTAGGATTTTATTATATAGGTCTTCGGTTACTCCATTAGTATTTTTCAGGTATACGTATATGCCATATACTTAAAAAAATATTAATATCACAGAGCTACTTTCTGACAATTTGCAAGGAAAATTATGTAAAAATACTTAAAAATAACTTATGTAACTAACTCGCCGTGAAGTGCTATTAATGTGAGGTTAAAATTCGGAGCAAGATGCAATGTTGAACGTTAACTCGGAAGAGTTAAGTGTCAAAACGTAGATTTGATATATGGAAGTAAAAGTTAGCGCTAAGTCTTGAATCGTATCCAAGATGAGTCATGTTGGCTTATTTCCACAGCATGCAAAAAACAAACAATTATATTTAGATTGATGAAAAAGTGGCATTTCTAAATTGTAAAGCCCAAGATAATTTAATTAAAAACCAATAAAAATGTACCATCAATCATTGCCATATCGGGGGATCTTGTCTATAATCTTAATAGTTCTACATTGTTAACATGAGGTAAAAGTAGAATACTTGTCTAGCTTAAATAAGACGAAGGTTTTTTAGTCTAGTCTATTATCCATGGTGCTACATTGGTCTACTAATCAATTCAAGGGTATTTAAAAATGCAATAGACATGTATTTCGTAGCTGATCTTATATCAATGCATATTATCTGTGTCTCCTTGATCAGCACGAGCTGCAACGAACTACGAAATATCCTTTACTCTGCGTACTCATAAAATATAATAAAATATTCGCGATAAAACTTCTACCGACATGGAAATTGTCTTTGGTGTCAATCGGGAGATCTTCCCCTGACTTACCTTGGTCTATTAAAAGAAGTACTAATACCATGTAAACAGTGCCATGATTACTATGGCACTTATCGAAAATCTGTATTACCAGTCAACATTCAACAGATATCAATAGCAGTAGTAATATATCTGGGCCTGAATAAGATACTAACACAAAAAATATATTCTTATTTATTAAGAAGAAACACTTTAATATCATCAAAAAGAAGAAATTTAATGTTAGAGTATTAAATGTATCCTAAAATAGTTTCACAGAGAAATAATAATTATATACAAACATGACGACAGAAGACAAGACAAGACAATACAATGTTGGCAGTGAACTAGAAATTATTTTAAAACAAGAAGGTAGCTCTAGAACTATTTCTTTATAAATATTCTAAAAGTAGACACATGGCTAAATACACTTGGTTGGGTATAATATACTTGGGTTCCCCTCGTCAAATACATTCTTACGCGTCATGCTGGCGGAAGTACTTTCACATACAAAGAAATCTTTGTTTATTGAGATGTATATTGTAATGATGCTGGTTAATGCACATAAATGATATGTGATGCATAAAAACGAAGAAATGTACCAAGATTTATTTATTAAATGCTTTGCAGTTTGATATTAATTTATTGCAAAGTTAAGCTAACAATTTATTTGTTGCCTGTATTAAACATAATTTATTATTTACTTTTACCTACACATTTCTCGCGACTCCTAAATCTGAACTGAAACACTAGATTTAACAAAATGATGTTATTTTCAGGTGATTCAGTTACATTTTACAACATCCGAATTTATTTCGCATTAATAATTTCAGCAGTAAACGCTTTAATTGAATATAAATTATTTTATTTTTCCTTGTAAAGAAAACAGGAATAATCTAAGTTCCAACCCCATTGTAGGTTTATGGGAATTCAACGTTACCTACGTCATAAAAAAAGGCAAGTTGTCTTGTCTCTACTAAAGTATTGCCCTTGAAATTTTTTCCCAAACCAATATAGAATAAATAATTTGTCCCCCATGCGACACACAGAACCTAATTGTATTAATAAAGGTTAAGAACCGAAAAGCCATTATAAAATGAAATGGAAAGCTCGAAGGCGTAATCTCAACGATGCGTTTCCTCTTCGAATATAACGCGTTGTTTAGTCATATATAATTCGGGTTAATTCCCACAATTTCCTGTTTTGCTGGTGCCGTGTGACGTCATTATCTATAAGCTCTGGTTCAAGTAAATATAGTTTTAATAGAATTGCTATGGCAACAAAAGTTCTTGGTTGATATTCAGTAATAATTGACTAATAAAATATAGGGCCAATCTCGTTTCATAGAGCATTCAAAGACAAACCTAGATTTGCATTAAAACTACTTAAAAAAACGAAACATTTCATTTTGCTGTCAACTCGATGTCATGGACACAACATTACAATAAAAAAATTATGAAATCATAAAATGGGTTCAATGGAGGACCTCCAGATCGATTTGGACAAACTTTCAAACACTCAAAATCATATTTTCAGTAAATTCGACGTTTTGACCCAGAACGTCGATGATATTAAACGGGTCATTTCACAAATTTCTGAGAAACTACTAGTATTAGAAGAGGCAGTATCTGACAGACGAAAATTAAAGAATGATATGACATATATGAAGAATAGAATAGATGAGCTTTACGCGATTGTTAAGGAAGGGAAAGAAGATGTGTCCGTGAAGAGTGAGGATGTACGAGATGTGGAGTCTTGTCACTCTGGATTTTCCTGCACGTCTAGGGTAAATAGTTTTTTGGACACACGTCAATCACAGTATTTTTCATATAGCAACACTGTATTAATTTGTTACATTCCATAATTTACCGGCCAAACTAAGCAAGAATGTTTTACCGTTGTCGACATATGAAATGCTGCTAAACAGTAGGGAGTAATTAAAAGATTTACATTATTATAAAGATGCTACGCCCAATTGTCCTTGGTCGAGCAATATAAAATAACAAAAATTTGAAATAATGTTAAACATTACGGCAGAATGCATTACAATGTATTACATGCTTTATACCTCAATAGACTTGGCTTGGACGGGTAAAAATAGTTTTACAGATTAAAAAAAAAAATTCAGAGGATTTTTAAAATTGTTTAACGTTATCACAGTGTGCGCATCAAATGCCTGCTAAGTAATTGACGGGAACTAGCAAGTTGCTTTTTTTAATCATTGGGTCTGGTTGAGTTCTTTTGGCAGTAAACACTATTTATTACTGCAATTAATTATTTATCATTGCAAGCCGAGTATCCTAAACTTTACTTGAACCAAATTATTGTAATGTACATTATTCATGCGCGTATAAAACTTTCACATAAACCGTGCGTTCGTTAAATTATTTTTATTTATACGCAGCAGCTCGCGTTGATGTCATAAATATTTCTTGACGTATGTTACTGTGTTTCTAAGGAAATTGATCATTTACGAAAGAACTCCTCTAGGTTCTTCATATTTTATTGATGGATAATTTTTACCATACGACGTCTCATACAGCCTTTATGCCTACTTAAGTTTGATTTCTTTTGATCAAATAAATTGATTTCCATTGAGTCACTTTCTTGGACAGCCGCACTCTTCATTTCTCAAGGTCATGTTAGTGGTGCCGCACCTTCCTCTGGGGGGGAGCCGTGCTTCACCTTGGTCTCAAGGTCATGTGTGAGATGGTAGGCCGCACTCATGTCTCAAACTTCCTCTTGGTAACAAAGTGTCGAAAAAAAATTTTTTCCCCGTAACCGTCTTTGTGTGATGGTTTTTGGCCATGAATCTAGTTAAAGTAAGGCCTGTAAGGGACAGATCTATAGTGCCCCCTTTGACTTTTTTTTTGACTTTGCACTTGATCGAGTCACAGTCGGTATATGGAGAATCTCTCCCCCTAGTGTGGGACTCAGCGTCGTCTACGAAATAAGACTATAAGCCTCCCTATATCTTTTACTGGACTTTTTTTGGCGGTTTTTAATGAACGGTGTTGCCATTTTTTTCGGGGTTCCCCATACTTTGGGGGAAAAATATTTTTTTTAAAAAAAAATATTTTTTGTTTTTTTTTAACCCCCCCCTGTGTGCGGGAAAAAATAATTTTTTTCCTTTTTTTTGTGTTTTTTTTTTTTTTTTTTTTTTTTTTTTTTTTTTCCTCCCCCCCCCCCCCTTTTTTTTTTTTTTTTTTTTTTTTTTTTTTTTTTTTTTTCCCCGGGGCCGCCGGCTTTTTTTTTTTTTTTTTTTTTTCTTATTAAAAACACACCACCCTAACGCATCCTAGCCTTTCTACGTGATAAATTCTCTGTCATGTTCAAAATAACTCCTCGTTTTGGTAACAAAGTGTCGAAAGACAATTCTAAATGTACATAACCTAAATGAGTATTTACGTTTTAGATTTTTAAATATTTGTAACCGTTGTTTGAAATGAAACATCCTTAGTATGGACACGTTTCTTTCCTTAGCGTTGATTGAGTCACATGAATCTAGTTAAAGTAAGATTGAGTACTGTACATCTAAACTTGCGAAAAAAAGCTTCTATAATCAAAATACCATTCGCTTTTGCTACAAGTAGTAGTTTCTTAGAACATCATTTGTCAGATGACAACGGTGCTTTCCATAAAAAATTCTCCGAAGCAGTTACGAATAGTATTTTGCATATAAAAACCTGGTGTAAAAGTGGCACGATCTATTTAATATTTGAAATATATTCTTTATGGAGTTTCAAATCCGTTGGAATGATTCATGAATCTTGGTTAAAATGGACTTATTACAATCATTTTTAGAATGTTTGTATCGCTTTCGCATCAAATTATATTCATTAATTGTGAGAATCTCTCTCTATTTTCTTATATAGGTTAAATTATACCTGCAAAGTGTTATCAAATATATAAATATATATAGTATTCGTACAAATGTGCTAGAATTTATTTAGCGGATCAAGAAAAATGTTCACGCAGTGGAAAAACCATAATTCCCCTTTTCCTGCCCACGGGTTAAGGTGAGAGATGAGAACCGTGTCTTGTTATTACAGTAATGAGTAATGGCGGATAATTAGCTGAGTCTAATTAGTGGCGCCGTCATGAGCACGCAGTGAAAGGTTCCCGAACTGTTCGTAGGTATTCCATGGGTCTTAAGTAAGCAGCTGGTTATCTAAAGTGTGTTGATGCCGCTCAACTTCTGCTTCAGGCCTAGTCGTGGCTACAGTTTGGATAGGTCACATTGTCAATGGACATGGATAAACATATCCACAATTATAAGTTGGTGAATTTCCCGCATTAAACCAATAATTTCAATCCCGACGAAAGATAGTCTGTGTAAGTTTTCGTATCGTTCCAAGTTGTTAGAGCATTAATTTGACACCTCTTGAGTTACCCAAGAATATGTTACCTTCCTTTACACGAGTATATTTAGCCTAAACTAAAACTTATTTTTTTATACGGCCCGTAATAGATTTATTATTATATAGGCGCAGCATCGTCTGATTCGCAATTCACTATAATAAAGTATATCTGTGTTAATACGTTAATTATAACGTAAAAATTGCTACCAAATAGTCAAGTCAACGCGACTAAAAATAGCGCACTTTATAAGTAAAAATAAACAGAAATATGTATGTAACTACTGGACCTCGGTAGGTGACAGTTTTAGCCGGATATTAAAATGTAAAGTCAATTTGTGAGGCGACTTCATTTTCGCTCATCCGGGTAATAAAGTCAAAGGGTATATGAAATCCGGTTTCGAATTAAAGGAATATTTATGTTTTGATAAGTAGGTATTGGCAATATTTTGCATAGTTGGGGGAATTTTTGCGCATGTATTTATATACCAAGCTAATGTTCTTAATGGTCCGGCAACGCACTCGCGATCCCTCTGGCATTGTGAGTGTCCATGGGCGGCGGTATCACGTAACATTAGGTGAAACTCCTGCCCGTTTGCCAACTTTTCTATAAAAAAAATCTTTTAAATACTTGCAAATGGAGAGAGGGCAACTATTTAAAAATGTGACGGATACATGCACGTTTTTCCGACGTCGAATCCAGACTTCTCTCATGCGCAAGCAATGGTGTAAAAAATGTGATTGTAAAATATGCTTCCATAGCAAGTTACTTACTCTTGGAATTAATTAAAGTATGAAAAATCTTAACACGTTTTTGAAATGACTTTTTGTTAGTCCTTGGGCGAACTTTTTAAACTCGTCTGTTGAGTCGTAACTGTCCATATTTAGCTCAGTTACTAAGAGCAACGCGTGCCCTCACGTAGTCTTATAAATAGACCATTTATGGATTCGTTCTACTACTAATAAAGCTACCTAATGTATCGATAACTGGAATTACTGTAATATGTTACTTATACCAATACCGACAGGTCTTGATTCCCATATTCAGATTTCCTTTGTTTATTGCAGAGCTGAATAATGAAGGGTTGAATAGTAAAAATATAGTAGTAGGTACATTAACCTGTGATCGATGTGACCAAAGTCCAAAGATTGACAAAATGTTCCATTCCAACCAATTTCAAAACCTAACTCTGAGACAAGACAACGCGAGCTGTGGGTGAAACGTGACTTAGCTTTAAGTCTTACTCTCGTACGTCAAAAATTATTTGGACATACGGGAACTTAGTTTTGTTTCTGAAGTTAGTTCACAATTAGACTGGTAATAATAATAATACCTTAAATGGGTCTTGGACTTAGATTGCATCCGTTTCTTTGATTATTTATATTTTATAGACAAGAAAGTAGTCAGTCTGCTGTGTCTAACACATGTCATCGATTTCTGGGTTTGAAACATGCCGATTTCAATATACTTCCCTTCACCGTAGGAGCAAGTGCTAATTGCGCACAATGAAAGAAAATTCCTATTGGTGATTTGAATCTTGATTTAAACCCACGGACTCAGGGATGAGGGCACAGTAGTAGCACGCTTAAGCTACTAGACTGCTCTTTTTGTATCTGAATTGAACCCTACCAAATTTACATGCACGCAAATTATCTACTATATTCGGCTTTATTCATGCGTACTTTCAATGTTAATTCTTTATACCCCACTTATGAAGGTATTTACAAAGATCCTGGTAAGTGAAAATTTTCAAATGGAAGAAACCTATTATTAGCGTAGATAATATAATAAGAATCTTGTTTGTAAGAATTCTCTATACTTAGGCCAAACAAAATATTTTTGTTTTAATTGCGATTAATTTACAGGTTGCCATGACAACCGGTATAGATCGTGACACGATACGGTCTGCTTATGACGACGTGCGATCAGACGGTTCACCTACAGAATGGTAAGACTATATTTAAAACACTATGCAGTTTACATTAAATTATTCTAATAACATGAGACACTTAGTATTATAGATATTTTATTTAACTATATTTATCAACTTGCATAAAATTTTAATCGAGTATTTTTATATTGAAATTATGGCAATAATACTAAGGCTTATATTCCAAGTACTAACCTCGTAATCGATAACTTATCTCGTCTTCAGCACGATAAGCTAGCGGGCAAATATCATACAAAACTTAAAAAAAAAAATTGCCAGCGAAATTTTATTCAATCGACTTCGGGCTCAAGCATTTGCCTCTATCTCTCTTTGTTTACTCATTCCCACATTCATAATCTCATAGCTATAATATCATTAGTAACATGATGTATTTAGTGTTTGAGAATTAAAAAAAACTGCCCACTTCAGATTTCAAGTCAGGCTTATAAAATCGACAGCATATTCCCTTGTAATGATTTATACTTCTGGTAGCTGAGTTTGGAATGTAAAACATCCCAGGATGTATGGTATGTAGGTGCAATGCTGGTTTCAATCATTCAATACAAACAAGTATTTAATGAAAATTAATGAGCGGATCAACGTGTTTACTAACGGACAGTCCTACTGACTGAGATTGTTTGCTAACTATTTCTTTGCGAGAAAACGCAGTGTTCTTATTTTTGTATTGCCCGAAAATAGTCCCTTGATTTGGTTGACATTTCAGTTAAGCAGGCGAACTGAAAGCTAAAATTCATATTAATTATGTAAACATAAGATATTATGTATTAAATATGATTAAGATACTATTTCTTTGCGAGAAAAAGCAGTGTGTCCTTACTTTTGTATTCCCCGAAAACTGTCCCTTCACTAGGTTGAAATTTGAGTTAAGCAGGCGAACTGAAAGCTAAAATTCATTTTTATTAATTATACCTACATTATGTATTGAATATGATTAAGAGGTATTATAAAGGAATTACTTGATTACAGGGCAGTATTCAAATTTGAAGGAGCGCGGATAGTTTGTTCAGCGCGGGGCAGCGATTTCTCAGAGTTCCAGACACAGTTCTCAGATGATGAAAGAGCTTTTGGTTACCTCAGGTAAAATTTAATGAACCTTATCTAGGTATATCCAAATTATTATTTTTGGGAATTGTTATCTGCTAATCTGTATTAATATGTTTACTCCTAAGCCTGTCCAACGCTCAAACTGAGTGTTGTTGTGCAATAGTATGTAGTTTAATTATAAAGTTGTGTTATGTAGAATTCATTACGACAAGTATCTAAATCAAATGGATGAGACTAGATGCCCACGACTCAGGGAATCCTAGTGTGGATTCTAGTGCAGTTTCTCTTTTGACTATAAATCCTTTTTTATTATGAGTAATAAAGTTTTTTTCTTTCTTTCTATCATGTTAACCATAATGTTTAATGATCAGATTAAATCCATTATTACCACACACCGTTAGTATATAGATACTAGACCATAGGGTGTAATCGAGATATAAAAAGGTAATGCACTAATTGATAAAATCATTTCAGGTTGCAAATGGGAGACGAAATGTCCAAACGCAAGAAATTTATGTTTGTGACGTGGGTTGGTCCAAACGTTTCGGTGATAAATCGAGCAAAGATGTCCACCGATAAAGCCATCATCAAAGATATTATTTCTGTAAGTATTCTTGTATAGTAACACACTTGAAGCTGTATTGCAGCAGCAATCTATTTAGTTATTGTAAATTTACCAAGCATAATATATGAAGTGAATATTATTATATAGGTAAAAAAGCAGCTTAATTTACTGATAATATATACTGTGTTGGCCTAGTGGCTTCACCGTGCGACTATCATGCCTGAGGTTGTAGGTTCCATCCTGGCTGTGCACCAATGGACTTTCTATGTGGGCATTTAACATTCGCTTGAATGGTGAAGGAAAACATCGTGAGGAAACCGGCTTGCCTTAGACCCAAAAAGTCAACGGCGTGTCAGGCCAGGATGCTGATCACATACTAGCTTATTAGATAGACAAATGCTCATGAAACATATCCAGAAATCTGAGGCCCAGACCTAAAAAGGTTGTAGCGCCACTTATTTTTTTAGTATATATTTTGTAAATGGAAATGTAATAAAAGTCAATAATTAAATGCAGCTTGGTAATTTTTATAAATTTATTTAAGACTAATTACTAATAGGATGTTTAAATTACTTAACTAATTTATAATAAGAGGAGACATCATAACACAATTTAAAAACATAACACAGTATTTACTATAAAAGTTTTAAAATGATTTAATTGAAAGTAGTTAATATGGATGAGAATCCTAAATATGTTTGCTTTTTTTACTTCCAAGTATTGAAGCTAGTAAAACTGGCTTACTTAATAATAAAACATGAAATTTTATAAAAGATATTCAAAGTGCAATGTTATCAAACAAAAGAATTTTTTAACAAAGCACTAATTATTATATTATCCTGTAATGCATATTATATCAATTGAAAAATTTTGTGAACCAATTATTCAGTGATTAACGTAATGTGAATTGGAATTGTAAAACAGTAAGATTTTTTTATTGTAGAAGAAATAATAAAACATGCAGTTTTTTAAATAAAATCATATAAATATTTTCTTACATTAAAGCCAACAGTTTGGGCTACTGCTGATATAAAATCATAGCCCACAATACATTTATACTTGGAAGAATCCAGATCAACCTCTTTGTTTCCAGCAATGAGCTTTAATTCAACAAGTGTTGCAATTTGAGCTAATAAGTTACTTGTTAAACCAATTTTTTCCTCTAAAATTGCATAAAATATTGCTAAAAGGCGATCAAGATTAAAGACTTTTGGACCAAGCTGTGTGTTGAGTTTCTCAGTTATTTTAGCTTTTGCTCGCACTTGTTGAAGCCTTTTTCTTTGTTTTCCATGATTTTTCATAAATAATCGCTTGTCTTCTTTTGGCGGATTGTAGCTAGCTAAATAAGCTGCAATGAGTAAGAATTTGGCATAATATGGCAATTCAAAGCTTTGAGCAAATGTCTTAGTAGATAAGAGTTGTAAGGTATTTTCAAAATCACAATTAGGTTGAATGTCATTCTCTTTATCATTTGATATTTCTGTTGTATTCTGTGTACTTATTCTTAAATATAGCAGTTCTAGGCTTGTTTTTAATATTGGAGCAATATGACGCCAAAGTTTTGATAGATCACTCGCATTTATTTCTTTCTTTATGATTGGCTCACAATATTTAACAAAATTTACTTTCGCCATGTGTTGCAGCTCGATCAGATCACGACACGGTCTGTAGAACACGCTTAAGAATGCATTAAGAAAGTTTGCAAATAACTCTGGCTTTTCAAGTTCTTGATTGATGTCACTGTCTATTTCATAATTATGTTTCAAATAGTAAACAAATGCGTCATGTTTTAGAAGAATTATTTTTAATAGTTCTTCTTTTGTGTAGTTTGGAAAATATAACTGTATTGGCTCCCTGACACCCATTTTAAAATAAAAGTTATCGTAAACAAGTTGACTTATGAAAATAGTACAAATATTAAGACAACACAATTCACGCAGTCTAAGGAAAGCGGATATTATACTATGGTCCATACATCTTAATCTTTCTGCTCTGTCGAATACTAAAACGATTGGATCGTATTTGATTTTATCGGATAAACGGTTTAGATTATTAATTAAATCTGATAAAGTATCACACTTTGTGCCTTGGTCTCCTTGTATTCTTAAAATTTCTTCAAACATAATTTTTGCGGAATAACATTCAATACAGTCAATTAAAACGTATTTTAAATTCAAATAGTCTAATACTGTATTTACACACAAAGTTTTGCCGGTGGCTAAACTTCCACTTATGAATATCGAGCACGGTAAAGTTTCTCCGTTATCGCCTAAAAGTTCAACTAAATCGTTTAGTTGACTTTCTCTACAAGGCACTATATTGTATAACTCTTCCATATTTATATTATTTTCACAAGAACATAGTAATAAATCAGAAACTATCTTCTCAGTTCTCAATTATTATTGGTAATTGTTGCCGACTGTTGACTTGACTGACTTGACAGTTGGTTTGAAGTTTGAATAATAGACTATAGATACTACAGACTACGAATAATATTAAATTACAGAATAAATTTTCCTTGGCTAACAAATAGCCTCTGTGCCGTATAAGTTTTACTCTTTCGAAATTCGATTCGAATGTAATCGAGAAACTGAGGATTAATGAATCTGCGCTGCATGTTTAGCATCATTAATGAATTTCATGAGAAGCAAACGAGGGTCGTAGTATCCGCAGTAGTTTCATTTATTTTTACACTTCGACATGATTTTTTAAAACATTATTGTATGTGTAGTCAAAATCTCTCGAAGGTTATAGTTTGTTCTTTGATCTTTGGAAAGCAAACTTTATATGTATATATTTTCACAAAAATATAACGACCTACAAATAGCCTTTATCCGTAACATTATCTAACAAGCATTTGGGTATTTTCCTGAAATATGAAAACTTATACTTATATGCACAAACATTAAATCCAACCGCGCAAAAATTTATGCTAGAGGTTTAGTTTTACAATTAAATTACATAAAAGATAATTTTATTCCAGAATTTTGCTGTAGAGCTGCAATTGGAAAGCCAGGCTGAAATAGACATCGATCAATTTAAAGAAGCCTTGAACAGAGCTGGTGGTGCTAATTATGGCACCGGTGTCAGGGATTTATGAACGAAATAAATCCCCTTAGACTTACCACAATCGCATGACTGAACTTATTTGAATAAATATACACTTTTTGTAATTTCAATACTGTATTATGACCTTGCATAAAATTAGGTTGTGGTTATATTTAATTAAAAACAAAGACAATATGTCAATAGACATATTGAGGTTTTTAATATATACATCTCGTACTATTCGATTTAAAACTGTGTATGTGAATTACCTAACGTAATGTTTCTAAAAAATTTAATGAAATTAGTTATAAATAACAGTGTTTCAGTTTATAATAAAGGCGATTATTTTTTATTTATATAAACATATTTATACTAATATAAAATGTAACCAAATCTGGTATAATTTATCTTGTATTAAAATTTTATTGCCAAAAACTATGTATTTGCCATTTTGCAAGGGAATAATGAATGCATTTATATTTTATCTTTGTTAGTCAAAATTTTTAACAATGATTAACTATGTAATGCTTTTTATATGCATAGGCTGCAATAACTCCGATTTTTATTGAATTGACTGGCAAATAAAAATAAGTAAATGAAAAAAAATCTTTTATTTTTGTATCCTAAGTTTTTTTTTCTCAAAGAAATAGCGGTAAAGTGAACATATAATATGCAGATTCAAAGAGTATTCTTTAAGCACACTGTCCACGGAGGCGTAGCTTCTTAGACGCGTATTCGTCATTATACGCTTGGTGTACGCTTGCTTGCAGCTTACATACAAAACAATGTAAATCTGTCGACGGAGCGGCAACGTCGCGCTCGCGTCGCAAGCTTCATGATGCCTGCCGTACTTGCTGTCATACGCCAGGGCGTACATGGAGTGAACGCACGTGTTTTTTATTGTAAAAAATGGCGGGAACGGCTGCCAAATTTGTTCAGATAATTCATCATCTGGGCTAACACATTCTCGCATATTGGTATTCTGTTTTTGTAATAATGGTCCTACGATCTGAAGTAAATTTTGATAAGTTGTTTTACTTATTCTATAGAATGAGAGAAATACACTGTCATCTTCTAATAATTCTCTTGCCGCTATGAACAATCTAGTTGATATTTCGTTTTCGTCGACTTCGAATGTAGTGATAAGCCAAAATAACGTCTTCGTCGTCCGACTGCATTCTCACAAATGATTGACAATGTACGCTTTCAATACGCCTCATGGATAGAGATCAGTACGCTGGGCTACTTAAGCTGCACGGCGTATTTTGAAGCGTCTATGAAGCTACGCCTCCGTGGACAGTGTGCCTTAGTAATTTCAACAAAGTTTGCCAGCGCCACTCCGGTCTTGCTCATTTAATTTCTAGTTTACAATTTTTTTCATGGTAATAATTTATTTTATCTACATGGTTGCTTATATTTAAAATTAACTGCTAATGCTAGAAAACGCGCGCAGAAAATCTCGATTAAACAATAGTATTATTAATGTCCCATACTTAGACACTTAGATAATTTGTGCCATATAAAATGTATAATGAATGAAAGAAGAATTTATAAAATGATTTATTAAGCTACAAAATCTACACACATTGGGTTTGATTTGTTTTAACACATTGCACAGGTGAGTGCAACATTTTATTTATAAAAAATAAAACGCAATAATCTATACATATTTTATTAAATTACAAAAACATTAAAAAAAATATAATGCCATGAACTTATTAGATGTTACAAGTTTATTATTTTTTTTATAGGCCAAGGTCATTTTTCCTGTAAATACAGAATTTGTTTCCAACTGGCTTGTTTATGGAGCTTTTTACCGTACAACTGATGTTCATGTTTTTGTTACCAATTATACTATTTCCAGTGTCTCATAAAAATACTATCTAAATAATTATGATTTTACGGATTAAAACTTGTTAATTTTTACAACTACAGATTGTACTTTTTCAATTCTTATGACTTCCTAAAGAAAAAACTAGTATCTAATGCGATTTAATCCGAAAACGATTTTATTATTGCTTCATTTATTAAAATTTTATGAGGTATGTTAGTGATTTTTCTTAAATAATATTAATAAAGATTAATTATAAAAAATAATAATTCAAATCGAAGCGCGACAAAAAATACTAGAAAGTGAATGCTAGCTTATGCCAAAATACTATTGCTTTGAAAAAAAAAATGTAATCAAAAATATGATTTTTTCGTTATCAGCGCATATAAAACGAGGCCTAATTACATTCAAAAGGAATAAAAGCTTAATAATAAAAGAACAATATAAATGCTTATCCTATACTTAACTAAGTGCAAAGAATATGAAATACTGCTATTTAATCACTGGGGCTGATATTCCGAAACAAGACAGCATTAAGTATGACTTTGCTACGTCAAAAACGTATATATTTCATTCAGATCTGTTCAGCCGCTGTGGCGATTATTTTTTTAAATATTGAGTTTTAAGGTAGGAATTGTCCAGTGAAAGTGCACATTCTAGAATACATAGAACCATGTTTATTGTACTTTGACAATTGGGGTAAGAAAATTATCATTATTAAATACAGTAAAAACCCGTTTAAGACGATGACATCAAAAACTTTTTTTTTATATTTTTAGAGATTTTTTCTAAACCGACAATTAGTTTTATTTTAATTAAATTAACTTCGATTAATATTCGTAAGTATTATGATAATTTTCTTTTTCCGTAAAAACCCAACTTGTATATAAATTTATTATTTTGCGTTAAAATAAAGTCCACTATTGCAAAACATGATAAAAAAAATTGTAAATCCATAGACAATTTAGCGTAATGGACTAAGAGCCTTAAGAAGACGGCTATTTGTATATTTCCCGAATAGCACGGACAATAGGCACACTCCATAACCCGTCGCTCGTTCACCCTGAAACAATATCACATATTACAGACCCTTTATGTATAATAACTAAATCTAATTGCACTCTTGATGACTTTGTCTCTTTCTATCGCATTGTCTTTATGCTATGATGAAAAGAGACAGATGATTTTATAGTTAGTGCAATAAGATTGGCCTAGCTCATTAAGATGGTAATTATTATTAAGCATTTACTGGATGATTATAATTAATAATTAACACAAATATTGCGCACAAAATAAGCTTTTTCAAATGCACTATTCAGAATGAAATTGATGAAGATGACCAATTTTCATTTAATTTCAATTAAATCAACTTTAAATAACTGTACCTGTACCAATATTAATATGCTTACAGAAATGCATATCTCTATAACTATTGAACAGATTTTTTAAAACTTGTATATAAATGATTTTGAGCAAATTTACAAAATCTACACAACCTTGAAAATAGATGACCATACCAAAAATTATCCAATTCCAACAATATAACAAAGAGGCCGAACTTCAACAATATTTGAAGTCGGTTAAAAATAAGGCTGTAAAACCGACATTTTAAAGTAGTTCAATAAAATATGTATGTACTTACAATGTGCGCAGGCGCAGCCATATCCACGTGCAGCCATTGTCCGGGGAAATCGAAGCCTAAATGTGCCAAAATGAAGAGACCAGCACAAGATGGCTGCGCGTTGTTTCGATCCTGTAATATCAAGAATACTTTACTGAAAATATCATTAAAAAATCAATTATAATAAATAAATTTAAATATAATACATTCGTTTATATCCCTTAGTCCAATTGGTTCGGAAGTACTTCAGTAGGCAGCTGATTCTACTTAGTGGTGGCAAAAACTGCCTTAATAAACGCTCAGTTGTGAAAAAACACTATTAAGAGTTACAAAATACCAACGGTTATAATCGTCATGATCGTAGAACAATGTCGGATTTGAAAAAAATCCAAAATCCACTTTTTATCATTTTTGGATACTACATTGACTAAATCTTACGGCTACATTAAAAAAAATCCATGTGTTTTAAATTTCAAATTAATCAGTCGGTACGCTCATAGGAGCATGTGATTTTTCTAGAAAACTGTGTAATTTAATGTTATTATTTTTATTTTGTTTCAAAACAAAACCTTTTGTTTGCTTGTATGCCAATATTTCATAATTACAGAATAAGAATTAAAAAAGTTATGTCAAAAAACTAACATGATTATATTATTTTGAAATGGCTGCCCTGTAATGTTTTCTATTTGTCAGATCCGTCACTATTCTACGACAATGGCAATATATAAAATGTAAAAAAATCCACAAAAATTATTTGATTGAAACTTACAGCAACACTATTTTTCATGTCAGCCACGTGGCTGCAGAACTCTGTAAAGTGAAGCTCTGGCGCATATGGAAGGGCGTGAGTGAGGTCGCCAGACCTCAGTCCAGCGGATACACAGGCCCGCTCCAATGTGCCTGCGTTCGATATAATCGCTGCGTGGTATTTACCGGTAGCTGTGCCCTGGAAAATAAAAAAAAAACACTTTTGGTATAAAAGTTCAATCCAAAACTAGAGTCGTAGATACAGAGTTAACATAAGTGCTAAAACAACCATAATTTCATAAATTTTAATATGTTAAAAGAGATTTTTTTTAGTTATAGTTCCTCAAGTTTAATTTCTTTATGTTAACTTTGGTAATTCTTGTAATATTTTTATAAATTGTATATGCATACAATAAGCTTTGATATACATATATAAAATATTATACATATATGTTATAATTAATATACAGTAGCGTTATAAAGGAGTTATTTTAACATACCTGTGCCCCGGTGAGTGTAGCCACATCAACAATGGTGTCGGCTTTCAAATCCCGGCGAGCGTAGACCACACCATCACTTAGCACCAGACGACCTAAAATTTTACATAATAAACATACTATAGCGACAAATACAACCTGCGATGACGTCATACCCTGAAAAGCGAAAGTACACCAGCATTCGTCTACAATATTGTACGAATAGTTTTATAACTCGAACTCAACTGATGCCACGCACTAAGGGTGGTTAAGAAACGAATCATAGCGCTAAAAAGTCAGTCCCGAACGTCAAAAATGCATTTGACACTTGGTTTCTAAATCTCATTCTAAGCACGCAAAAATCTCAATCCTAGCACTGACTTAACATTATTATCCTTAAAATTAAAAGTAATGTAATGTATGTATTTTTTTTTATTATATCTAATATATAAAATTCTCGTGTCACATATACGGCGTACAAAAATACATACAACCCCTAATTTTTATCCCTCTACCGATCACCCTTTTTTTATTATTGTAGATAGTTATTTTTATTGAACTAAAAAAATATGTTTCCTTGACATTATATACATGGCTCAACAAACGTTTGCCTGGTAATTTTTTTTTATTTTTTTTATATTAATATTACAAGTAAACCTTTTAAAAGTATTTATCATTCCATTTACTAACAGTTTTTGGAACTTTTTGTATCAATATAAAACTAATTAACAAAATTAAAAACATAACTAATAGTTGTAATTTTTGTTTTTTGAATTAATACAAATAATAATAAAAATCAAGCATGTTTTTACTTTACTTATTCCATTACTACGCTATAAGGTTTCAATTTCGTATAGACTATAGAGGAATAAAACCCATACCTTCTGCATCTGTGTTGTTGATTTCTACAGTGCGACCCGAGTACAACTGGTGAATGTCATCTGGCCTGAAAATTAAATGAATTATACCACTATTAAAAAAACTAATATGAGACTCAATTTCCTGCGTTTGTCCACCAATTTCTATATGCACAAATAATTTCGATTCTTCAAATTGATGAGAAAGTGATCCACTTTTGTAAATGACGAGGCCAACATAATAAATGATTGGTTATTATGTTAAATACCATAATGTGTAATTTTTTTTCATGTATTTCATAGGTATTTATTAAGATAATTTATCTATATATATCTTTGAATTCAAATCCTATTTTTCTCAAAGTCACCGACAAAAATAAAAAGTCAAGTAAAAGATAAGATGCTACAGTAAATTTTGGGCCATTATTTTTGTTAGGCTTATAGTCAAAGTTTTTGGTAAGTCGTCGATTTCGTGGACTTAAGATTAAGCTAAACTAGTACTCAGAGATTCGCAGTTTGCTCAATAAACTGTGACTTAACTCGTAAGTTAAGTCTGAGCAAAGTCTAAGTGCACTCTATAGATCTCGCCCTTAGGGTCTTATCATCAACCCAGGCCAGGCTTTGCTTGATTTTTTTCCGTTTGTTTATTAAAAGATTTTGACATTCATAAGTGTATCTACCTACTTATAAACTATATTTTGAATAAGTGTATTTAAATTAACTATAAGTATAAAGACTTTATATATATATGTAAAAACAATTTTGTAAAAAAAAAAAGGTTTGTCATAAGTTTTTGAGTAATATTTTTTATTAATTCACATTCAGAATCATGCTATTTAAACTGGATTAATGTCACTGGTCACATTATAATATTTGATAAGATTATACCTAATATTAAAGTCACCACATTAAACTTACCTAGTAGCATTGGGCCCAACTGAGTTTTCAGCGATACACAAGACAGCATGTAAATTGACAGTGGGTTTAGCTCTAACTACGGCTACAAAGGCACCTAAGACTGCTGCTGCCCCACCACAATCACCCTTCATGCCCACCATCGAAGCCTACAATACGGAGATATTATTTAAATTCTAAAAATTTATTGAACCAATTGTATGGAATAGAAAATATATTTAACTCATAATTATACAAGAAACTAATTATGCAGTAAATTCTCTTTCAAATTAGGAACGGTGTATGAAATATAAAATGAGTACTTATTTAAAAAATATTATGCTTGTTAATCAAGTAAAAATTGTACCTACCCTGGCTTTGATGCTAAGGCCACCAGTGTCATAAACAATGCCCTTGCCAACCCAGGCCACAGTCTCTGTGGCTCCAGGGGCCATGTAAGACAAGGAAACCAGTGCTGGAGGCTTAGTGGAAGCCTTGCCGACTCCATAGATGCCACCCATTCCACGTTCAGCCAGTGCCTCGCCACGTATCACTGTTGGTTCAGCTATATCTAGCTTCTTGGCTACTTTACAGGCTTCCTGAAAATTATAATTTATATAAAAAAATTAATTTATTTTAAAATTGAATCATTTCTGTCAAAAATATTGCCTTTTAATTTTAGACACAGTTACAATATCTCACTGTTACAATAAAAAAGTTAAAAATGTACAAGTAATATCATAACTAACAGGGATACTGACTTGAGATTATAGAAACTGGAAGGTGAATAACTAATTCTCCAGTATAAATTCAACTTAGGGTCAACTTAGAAGGCCGGCAACGCACTCGCGAGCCCTCTGGCATTGAGTGTCCATGGGCGGCGGTATCACTTAAATACCATCAGGTGAGTCTCCTGCCCGTTTTCCCCCAGTTCTATAAAAAGAAAAAAAAATAAACTCACCTCGACAAAAGCATCCACATCCATAATGTTAGCGGGTGTGTCTGTAATTCTTGCAGCAAGGCGAACGGAATCAGCTACATCCTGTATAGTGCCAAGCTCTTCATTGGACAGGGTCCCATCTGTTAGGGCGTGCGCATTGGTACCTTCGTCTTCGGAGTCACCTTCTATGAATTAAATAATCTTAGATGTATACATATTTGGTTTGTTCTGTTTAAGATATTAAAAATAACTTACAATTAGCAAAACCACTCAGGAGAATATTTTGGCATAAGTATATAAATGGTAGAAGGCAGTGTTTTTCAATGCACAAACAGTGAGGTTATTTTATTTTCTATACTCTGTTAAATACTCTAAGGCTGAATTTAGTCTTACGCCGACCGCACGCGCACCGTTGGTGCTGATGGTCAAGATATATGAACTTCTAGGAAGCGTTTTTGAATGACGCGTAGCTATCAGCGCGCACGGTGGTACGGTCAGCGCTGACGATCGCTAGAGCGCCTCTGCTTTCAGTGAGCGTTGTAGTGTCGAACGGAGCGGACGACGTCAGCGTGTACAGTCATGACAAATCGCGAAGTGGATACAGGTCGAGTTAGGTAGTACAAAGCAGCAATAACGAATACACTCCGCATTTTGGTCTTCGTCTGTACAGTAAGGCGGTCAGTACGATACTGAAACGAGCCACGCTGATGAACTACGCGCTGATCTATGAGCGCTGACGGTGAGCGTGAGACTAAATTCAGCCTAACAAGCTTAATAGAAAAAAGTCTATCTAAAGGAAAATATTTATTATATTAAAGTATATAATATTTTTTATTGAAATAGGTTAAGTAAAAATCAATGTTGAGAAAATTAACTCTGTTTCTCTCTATTAAAAAAACAATCAACTTAATTTGGAAGCATGAAACTTAAGAATAATGTCAAACTTAATTTATTTGGTTTAAATTATTAATATTTTAATATTTGTGTCCACAAAAATATATATTAAAACTAAATTTTACATAAATTTGGTAAAAATTCTTATACATTATTACAATTTAGAACTAACCATGATTGACAATGAATATTTCAACAGTGAGATTTGTGTTAGCTGGTGGGGCAGGCTGATTAGAGTTCAGTGGAGTAGACCCAGACCGAGCCGAGTAGAGAGGGACTGACCTGGATATGGCCACTGCACTGGCTAATACATCTCGTTTGCGACATACCAGCTGTTAATACATAATTTATGAGTAATAATCTTAACTTATAATATTGTTATAAAAAATTATTTATGCCTTCATCTTTGAATAATTGAAACTATAATTGTATGTTTTAAAATAAATTTTGTAGTACAGTAAAATTAAATTAACTGACAAAGTACTGAACTGTTACCAAATCAAAATATTATCATTGATTGATATAGGTAAGTTAATGTACAATTATTAACACAACAACATTTTCTAGTCAAGGTTAAACAGCTAAATGATAAAACTACTTACAACAATATACTCTTCGGCAGCAGAACGCAGTGCTGACTTGACAATTTTTGATAAAGAATGGTTTCTTGAGGGAGCAGTGTGCCTAGAACGTCTTGGAGGAAGCACACCAAGAGCAGCACCACGTGGCCATAACTCTGAGACATCACCAGGCGAAGTTACGGCGAGACCACGACGCCACACCTAGAGAAAGGGATTGCATTAGACCAAAAGACCATAGAACCATGTGCCTTAAGTTAATTAAATTTTATTAAATTTATATTTAATATTATTTCATAATAAATCACTAATAGAAAATTTACCTCTTCAGTTACTCTTGGCTCGAGCTTGCACCTCACATCCTGCCAGGACAATGCTGAAAGATGAGCTGGCTGCCCCACAAACAAGACAGGGGTCTGTTCAGGCTCTGAAGCACTCAAACCCCAACGAAACTTTATTGAAGACATTCTGCAAACTAAATTATTATTGTTTTAATGAAGATCACATAATAATAATCACATGTAATTCCTCGATACCAGAAGTTATATGTCTACTACAAACCTGCTAAAAGGAAATTTAATTATCACACAACATAAAACTTGATTAAAATGATTGCAAAAGAATTAAATACTATTAGCACTATCTTGATGTAAATGCCAACTAAGTAAATACTTTTATAACCTCATTAAAAATGCAAACTTATTGCAATATTAATTGGTTTGAGGACAAGTCATTCACCTGATATGCGTAGTGATAAACGGGTAGTATGTACACTTGATAATGTCCTTAATAATATCATTTTTGTATTAATTATATAACTTAAGCATATAAAACAAGCGACAGACAACGCTGACTCGGTAATCGTTAACGTTTCGCCGCTTTGTTCAAACTTATCAACTATTCAACTCACCCGAAACACGGCCTACCTAAAACGTGTACTTTTTACTCTAGCACCACATAAACACTATAAATAAAGTATAGAATTTAAAAATACAAATATATTCTATGTAATATACAATTTTTATATTATAATTATGCTATAATTGTTTTGAATATTGCCGTCAAAACATTTTTCAATTTATTAATTTGTGCTTCGTAATTCTACAAAATCGTAAATTAACAGTTAACACAGATCACAGATGTCGAATAACTTTGTTATTCTGTCATCTGACATGTCAAACGCTAACCAGCAGTTTTGAGTTTTTTTTTTTGGAGTTTGTGGCCTGGTATCTAGACCTTTAGGCCAAGTCTTGAGTATTTTTATTCGGTTTATTATAATTTCCTCACTGGATTTCAGATTTGAGTTTTGACATCTTTGAACTTAGATAAGAGCACTTTACAGATTGTACATACAGAGACGAATCATATATTATATTATAATTGTTATCGTTTTGCTGTCCGTTGTAAATATTACAATTTCAACAGAAGTACTAGGAGAAAAATAAGATAATAAAAAATGTTACGATAAACCGAATCGCTATTCTAGTCAAGCTATTCTTTTATATGGAGCCAATAGTGAAGTCTATTCTCTCTTATCTGCTTATCCTTGCGATACCGCAATGGGTAAAAATGCCAAAGATTCGCCTACAGTAAATTATTTTTTTGATATTATCTTCCATTTTCGCAATTAGAAAACTTAAATGGGGAACACTGCATTTTCCTTTTACTCGATAGTTTGCAAAAGCTCACTTAAGACGTAGGAAATACAAAAACGAACAAATTTGTAATTGAATATTTAATCCTTAAGTATTAAAAATACATAACAAAAAAAGTCGTAAGCTGCGTGGTAACTTCTATAATAATTATTTTTAAATAAGCGTTTTCATACTCGTCGACATTACAAAATTCAAATCCGGCGTGTTTAATACTATACATGAATACCTTTATAATTTTCGTAATGACACACTTTAAACAAAAATATTGAGTGCTAACAACGGAATAATCCGTTAAAAAAAAAGATTGTTTGGACACCCACCAAAAATTTAGTTAAAAAAGAGGTACTAGTTTTGATATTTTACTGCTATTGTGTATTTGGATTATATTTAAAAACGCAGTATAAGTTGGTGAAGTAAAATATAATTTTGGAGTAAGAATGTGTTCTTCAAAATAAATAGTTTTGATAATAATTCTTATATCCCTCGAGGCAAGAGGAAAATTACACCCTCTGTAGAAGTATGATAATCTTTGTCTTAACTATAAACCCCAACCAGTACCATTAACCTTAGCAACCATATAATTTGTATTAATCACTAGCCACAATTTCACATTTAATATTAATTACTATAATTAATTATATTAAATTTAAAAGAAACAATTTTAATCAATAATTTTATAGTTACAGACTTGCGACGGCGAGTGAAGGTAACAATTTATCTTTCACCAAATGTTTAGCATTCTTACTTTCTCCTTTTATCAAACGGGAAATTTCGCTGAAACATTTGGGGGGTAATACGACTGATTATTTCACATTTTTGTACATTTCAAAATACACATAGCAATAAGGACGCTATTTCAATTCAAGCAATAATGAAAAGGGTGCGTGTACTTATGTAGGTACGCGCGTAAGAAGTTATACTTCTTTGGCATTATTAAAAATAGTTTTTGATTGCATGCAAATAATTAATTACAATTAAATAATCAAAGACTGAAAAAGGAGTCATTATAGTCAATAAAGTTCAGTTTACATTTTAAAAATTAAATAAATAAATATTTATTATTATTCTCTTACATTAAGTGTAACATAAATTCGAATGTTGTTTTTAAATTATGTCCGATGCCGTAGCATCTTCCGTGGGCAACTTCATTCTTCAATTTTATATAGCGGTGCGCGCGCATCGTAAAATTTCACTCTCATAAATTTTTCATAACGCGCCTAAAGAAGTATAACTTCAAAAGTCTTTTAAATTGGATCATCGAATAGGCCCACAGTTACTACATGTATAAATAAATGTTTCTATAACTAAAGAGTAATTACTCGAAAATTTTGTCTTAATGTCATTGAAGATGTATTTGAGAATCCGCGAAAATTGAAAGTACTGAATCAGCCATAGATTAGCATAACCCTTCATCCACATCTATGCTGAGGAGATAAAAAATATTTATCTATGTGAAATAAACAATCAGAAGTATTTCTCAATTATCGAAATTGTATAGCTTAACATATTTAAAATTTAAGAATAAATTTATCACCCATACAATTGCCATAATCATTAATTAATAATTATAAAACTATATTTAAAAATAGCTGGAATAATTTAACAAGGGCAATACCACATATGGGTAAATTTTATTTAAATTCAAAACGGAACCTGTACTACAATATTGTCAATGATTTAAGATAAAATCCCGTGCACTTACAATTTCTATTCGTTTATTTGCCTAATGAGATATAACATAAGTTTACTGTACGACAAACATTCATAGATACTATACGTATATATAGTATGGATTAGGCGTACAAATTCTTACGGGCTAAAAAAAAGATTAAAAATACTTGTCAACTGTCATCCGGCAAATAACCGAATGTAAACACATATAATTTGCTTAAATAATTACATTCGTTAATTACTATAATTGATTTCGAGTTAACAACAACAACGACTAAACACGGACACTTTATTGTCAATTTAAGTGACAGTTAATTGTAAAGCGTATCTATAATCTGTGGATCACCATAGACATTGTACTGTTCTATTGGCATTTAAGGTTTTAAACCTAAAGCTATAGGAATTTTTAATCCAAATAAATACTTCACAATCACGTAATTAAAATTTAAAAATTACGATTTCATATTTGTAATGACAACTAAGCGCTAGTTAATTGTCAAACTAGTCTTTGAAAGTAAATTAACAATCTAAACTCGTATCTGAAATTTTCTAAACGATTGTGAAAGTTTCCAAATACATTTCCACACACAAGCCCGTGTTGGGAAACTTTTACATTCAATATATGTATTGCTTAGTCCTTAGTTTATGGCCTCTGAATACCTTTAACCATATTTATGGCTGTTATTAAGTAAAGCGCCATCTCTTAGCCAAAAGAAAAACTAGATACTTGTTCCATATCAAACAACATTGTTAGCTTACAATGGAACAAGCATCAAATAAAAGTGCAGACCATTAAACGAACATCATATTGTAAATTGCATCTTAGCACAAGGTCACAAAGTCGCAAATACAACTAAATATTTTGAATGGCCAATGCAACAAAATCAACACTTAACCGTAACTTAACTTGATAGGTGATCTAAAAACGTCTTTTAAGGCAAGATCAATACTGCGAGTTAAGTTTCAAGTGTTCTAAGCCGTGATAATATTTTATCATCTGATACTTAAACTGAATATATTTAGCTAGGTGAGGGGTACCGGGTTCGATTCCCGGTTCGAGGGCAAGTTTTAATTTAATTTAAAATTTGTTCTCGGCCTTTGGGAGGGTTGTGCGGTACCGGGCGAGTGCCTAAACCGTTACTTGAAGGAGACGCGGTCGAATTTCTAAAGACAAGCACGAATTATAAAAAAATCTTATACTTGATGCTGGCTAATGCACAAATCGTGCCAGAGCCATAAATAATAAAAAAAAAATTGAATATAGATTTAATCAATAATTGAGATGCATATGGCATTTATGTGTTTTTTACGTAACGTAAATCGCAAGGCGGCTCATCTGTAGTTAAGTAACGCCCATGTACACTTAATTCCAGAGAGCTTCGCGAGTGCGTCGCCGGCCTTTTAAATTACGCCCTTTTATCGAAGGACCGAAATCGAATTAGTTCGGAAATACTTCAGTGAAAATTTTAATATCTTAGAACACTTGAAACATCAATTGCCCTTGTAGTATCACAAAACAATCACTGAAATTTTAATACTAATAATGGTAAATAAAAATACACAATGTAAATTAACAATCCATCTACAATAATTTCATTATACCCTCAATTTATTGTTAAATATCCTACCGTCTTTTTTTGTCATTTATGTAACGTCATTTATAAAGAAAAATATATAAATATCTATTTCTGACCGATTTGTAAGAAAATTAATACGCTATTAATGTATTTTAAAAGCAAAGTACAAATTGTACAACTACCCTCTCTACGAATATTTAGTATTTCTTATAGTTAACTCTCTCTTTAAGGAATATAACACGAGTAAAGGACGACTGTCTCGCTCTTACATTTTATTATCAACACAGTTGAAGCGAGATAGTCTGATAAGTATCTAAGCCACAGACCGAAATTGATTTACTTAACGAATGATTAAAAATTATATATACAAAAGGAAAAACATACAATTTCAATCCAGAATATCGACGATGGTCAGCTGAATATTCATATGAAATAGACGCAATCATTAATTAATCATACATGTATTTTGTGCGCTTTTTTATTATTTTGAATTAGGGAGCGTTCAGGGGGAAGGAGGAGTCCTCTTGTAAAACGTTACGATGCGGGGCGGGGATTAAATTAAGCGTTATTGTTAATATTATTTCCGACTTTCCAGTACTTTACACCACAAAATGGTATATTTTAGGTATAGTCACTGGGTGGTCATGAAACGTTTTCTATTGGGTACAGAAAAACGTTGCAGCCCGTCACATGGGGGGGAATCAATAATCTCCAAAAATTTAGTGACGTAATACTTGAACGCTCCCTTACTAAGAATATTAGGAATAGGATTGAAAACATAATTTCTTCCGAAAAACATGTTCCTTTATGGTTCAATTTAGTGTTCGTTCGTCGTTCCGTACATACAGATACGTACAATCTGTTTCTGTAACATTGCTATCTTTTGTCTGTGGCTTAGTAGCCATAAGTAGAAACGCTAAGTAGTAAGTAGAATAAAGCTGGAAGCGACAAGCGGACACAACCTCTAGCACAGCACTTCGCGCTGCGGTACATACTGAAAAAGATAAATGTTTTATTACTAACTATCTATTTAGTGCGGAAAGAGAGCTGTCGTTGGATAGAAAGAAAATTATTGTGAATTTATTTGTTATGTTGACAACATAAAAACAGAGTGTCTTCCCCTTAATAGAGACTGTAAGTAGAGTTATTGGAGACTTTCTTAAATTAAATATCTTTACTTAGACTTAAGTAATACTTAAGTTAGGTTGAAGTTCAAGTATCATAAATAAGCTAATTTTATACTTTTTCGTATTAATTTTTAGGTTATTATAACTTATAAAGAATAATATTTTTACCCATATACTATGTAAAACAAAATAAACGGAAAAATTTATTATGCCGGGTGCCGGTTAAATTTATTTGACAAATTGTCCATAAAACTATATTGCACTCCATGCAATGGGTTATCTCTTCCTTTTATTGAAAATTAAATAAAGTGATCATAATTATTTTAATAGATTGTGTTGTTGTTAATAAAAGTACAATGAAAAGGACAATTTGATCGCCTATTAGTGCATTTTACGTACATATAATATCAGAAGCGGTCACCACAATCGCGGCGTGTGGAGATGCATGTAGCCGTCGGCCTGCGCACGCCAATACTCCCCACCGTACACCCACGTCTCTTCACCGCCCTCTGTGGCTTTGCTGAAATAAGTATAACAATTTTTTTAATACTGAAATTCAAGCGGGTTCGGATAGTTCACGAACACTTTAAAATGAGAACTATCAAAGAGGAAATCCGGAGACTGGCAGCTAAATACAAAGAGCGGTTAAGCTGTCACCCGAATGAACTTGCTCGCCAACTTACCATTAGACAGTATGTGAGTCGACTAAAACGTCACCATATTCTAGAGCTAGAAGAACGGCAGTATCGCAGAAGATGAGTAGATGCTTTCAATGGGAAGTCACTCCACATGACAGTACCACAGAAAAAAATCGCTCATAGCCTTGGGGTTGATTGCAAATAACCGCAGAAAAGAAATAAAAAATATATGCGTAAGAAGTACACACGTAAGAAGTGAAACTTCTTTATGGACTTATTTTACGAAAAATTATCTACTATATGCAACTTTACAGAAATTGGTTAAATAAAGTTAACTAAGATAAAGTTTAAAAAAGGCTTTTATTATCATAGACATAGATAGAATTGAATAAATAAATAGAATACAAATAATATAATTATTTCATTCTACCTTATTACTACTAAGATATCGATTATCGTTATTATATATTTTTGTTTTTAATATAAATTTTATACATTTTATGAACGCACTACACGGTTTTTGACATAAATAATAATGATTTAAAAGCATAATTTCTATTTATTACTAAACAAAATACTGTAATATTAATTAAATATAACGTAAAAAAATATTATCCAATATAAATAACAGTACGTTGCGGTAAGCCTGAAGTTAGTTTTCAGAGGTACGCAAACTTAACAAACAACAGATCTTGCAATTAATCAATAAACTGGATCCGAAATCGCAGGACAAGAAAACAAAGATGGCGCGTAACGGAAAAATGTGGCGCGTACGTAATTTATTTTCCAACGCCGAAAAAGTAGTTTCACTTAAAAAAAAAGGATGAATTCATAATTACCGGAACCAGGCAGGCACGTGATCAGGTCTGTCCCTTCGTCTCTCCCGTTGCGATTGCTCCAACTCGTGCTTGAACTGTTCCGCGGCGTCCACGTCGCCTTCTTCTAAGGCACGCTGATCCGGCCTTTAATGTCACACAAATATTTTTAATTAATTCAAAACTTTTACACCAAAAAATCGCTAATTTTGATGGCTGTTGAAAGTTGGGTAATAAAAACATTTTCCCTGTTAAATAACCAGGATAGTTTAAGAACCTGAACTTTTCCAAAATCTCCGGTAGGTATATTTATTCCAAAATTATTATTAAAACCTTTTTTATTTCTATGACCATACAATAATTTTAAATAATACAAATCAAAATATTAGGTCTAAAGTGTTTATCATGGGAAAGCCCATTCTATATATCTTCACTTATATATATATATATATTATATATATATATATATATATATATATATATATATACGTAGTCGGTCCCAAAGTTCTGTCATAAATGGAAATAATGATAAAAACAAAAGTACTGATCAGTTTGTAATGAGTGATATATCAATTCTTAGTACATTAATTAAGGAATAAAAAAGCATAAAAATATTCGAAATAACCTCCCTCATTTTTAATACAGGCCCTTTAGCGTCGCGGCCAGTCGTCTATCGCAGCACGCACCATATTCGTGTCGATTTCAGTCACTGGTTTTTTTAAAGATGACTTCAGATTCTCCAAATTTTCATGAGGTTTATCACAGACCTTCCTCTCTAAGCCCTGTCATAATTTCTGGTCCAAAGGATTAAGGTCCGGACTGGAGGAAGGCCAATCCTCATGTCTAATTAAGACGATGTTTTGACGCTCAAACCAGGCTTTAGTGGTCTTGGCTTTGTATGCAGACGCAGAGTCCTGCTGGAACACGAAGTGATGTCCCGCAAATAGGGTGCTGGACATGTCTTTGACAAGGCGATACAAAACCGTCTCTTGGTACACTGTAGCACTGGTTTTGACCCCCTTTTCGAAAAAATTAACCTCAGTTAGCCCGTAATAGGACACTCCCAACCAAACCATTACTGATGATGGATGATGTCCATGTTGCACCCTTGGAACTTTATTTTCAGCTTCTTCAGAACTCTTAGCGTACACTGTATAATTCTGTTTATTGTACTTCTCTTCAATATCGAAAAATTTTTCGTCCGTAAAGAGGATATCACGGTGTCGGTTTTTCGCGTACCGCTGAAACAACACCCGCGATCTCTTAAGCCTTATTGCTTTTAGACGAGCATTAAGTAAGTGCCCACTCTTTTTTTGTATGCTCGTAGACCAAGATCTTCATTTAAAACCTTTTTTACTGTTTTCCTACTGACACCCATCTGCAAATCCATCAACTTCTGTTTTCGGACAGGATTTCTTACTATCCGCGCCTTGATAGCTTTGATTACTGCTGGTGTTCTTGCGGAGCGTGGCCAGCCAGTTCTTTTCTTGTCCTCAACACTGGAGACTTCAAGGTACCTATCAATAGTACCGTACACAAACCTAAGCGTTATATTCAAATTTTTGAGCAACTTGAAAATGGTACTCCGCGAGTGTCCACAGCGGTGCAACGCAATAACAACTATTCGGTTTACTTTCAATGTCCACTCCATCGTGAAAAATTACGGAAAGTTATTGTTTTTTGTTTTAAAACAATAATCAAACATTCCAAAATAGAATGCAATAATTTTTTTATAAAATCCTGCTCGAAATGTAGAAATAATGTGCTAGTGACAGAACTTTGGGACCAACTACGTATATATATATATATCCCAGCCCCCGCTGTGCAGATAATCCCTCCATCTATTCACCAGTCTACCTGTCTTTTCTTTCTCACAACGAGCTCTTGTCATACACTCGGCGTCAAAAAAATCGCACCTTTCCTAAAATTCGTGTCAAGCGATTATAACCCCGAAGATCCTTTCTGTACCCTATCATTATTAGTATCATTTGAAAGCTAATGTAATCCCTTATTTGAAAACAGTAGAAAATTGGCCACCACCCCCAAAGAAAAAGAAAATTCTGGGAAAATGTGAAACAATGTGTATTCTGATCAAAATTACAAATAAAAGGAACAATACAAAAATTAAAAATAAACAATGACAATCCTTAAAAAATAGTCTTACAACCTAGTGTTGCCTCCTCTATCCCTCCGACCAGCTTCCAAGCGGTCAGTCATGGACCTGCGTCACGACGTGTTCATGGGGAATGTTGTCCCTTTCCTCGATGACGGCATCTCGAAGCTCATCGAGAGTGGCAGGAGATGGATTACGGGCCCGAACTCGCCGTTTCAACTCGTCCCAGAGGTGCTCGATAGGATTGAGGTCGGGGCTTCTTGCTGGCCAGTCCATAACCTTGATGCCAACTCGACGTAGGTAGTCCTCGACAATCAAGGCTGTGTGGCACCGGGCGTAGTCGTGCATGAACTCGAAGTTGGCGCCGACAAAACCTACACATGGGACCACATGCTCCTCCAAAACTTCGGTGATATACCGGTGGGCAGTCAGAGACCCCTGGCCGCGACTTTCTCCAGCTCTGGAGACGCACACGAGGTCTGTCTTGCCGTCCATAGAAATACCGCCCTAGAACATGCAGGATCCTCCTCCATACCCGACGCTTTCCACGGTGCAGGCTGGTGTGAAACGCTCTCCTGGCCGCCTGTAGACTCTCTTACGCATGTTGTTGGTGTACACGTACACTCGGGTTTCGTCGGAGAACAGGACATTCCTCCAATGGTCGAATGTCCACGGCACGTGCGTTTCATAAAATCGCTTCCTTTTCGTCCGGTGGATGGTAGTCAATAGGGGGCCTGTAGCAGCTCTTCGGGGCAGCAAATTCTTCTCTCACAGCCTTCTTCTGATAGTGGAGACGCTGTCAGCTGTCCTTCGAGTAGCTCAAAGCCGCTGATGCAGCTCCACAGCGTTGAAGAAGCGGTTCCTCAAAGACGTTGACACAATGGAGCGATCACCTCTGACGGTAGTGCAGCGACGTCTCCCGGATCCATGTCTCCTGATGTAACCTCCAGTCTCTTTGAACCGTTGGTATACCCGTTGCACTCGAAATCGGCTGATTTTCAGTTGCCGAGCAACTTCAACCTGCCGTAGTCCGATTTGCAGTAGAGCCACCACTTGAGCTGCTTCTTTGCCATGGTATCCATTTTCACTGGGTTTTTTCTTTTTGAAGCTCTTTAGGAGTGACCTCTGTGACGTCTGAATAGCGAATAACCTATCATTGACTTTTACCCCCTCGTTATATACGCGTCCATGGTGGTACAATTAGTGAGCCTCCAAACGCGTACATCGCCACTTTTTAATCAAAGTGCTGATGATTTGTGGTTTTTGATTTTCCGTAAACAAATGATTATTTTTTTGAAAGCTTATTAATTGAGCTTTTAAATTATACTAATAATGATAGGGTACAGGAAGGATCTTAGAAGTTATAATCGCTTGACACGAATTTTATGAAAGGTGCGATTTTTGTGACGCCAAGTGTATATATTCATAGTAATGTAAAATACAAGTACGTAGTAAGAGAATTCTTATAAGTCTACTCACCTAAACCTAGTATCTGTATGAGGCAGTATATCTTTTAATCCGGGTTCCATTTCGTTAAGTTCCATCGCGAACCGCGTGAACCCGTAGTATAACTCATAGTCTGGTGGCATCGCACCTGTAATACAAATAGGAAAAATCGGTAAACAATAGACGAACGACACACGGAAAAGTTTATGGTCTTTGTCTGTGGTTTTTAATTTTTTATGGTCATAAAGTATATTTAATAATTACCACATTCTAACGAAACTTGGTCGTCGCTGGCTCACATTAATGTTCCTAAATACCATAAAAAACAAGATTTCATTTATTTTCTGTACTATACTATTATAGTCTATACAATAATATTTATAAGAAATAATATCTCTATCGAGAAGTACGCAGTTTATATATATGGGTACGTACCATTACGTACGTACCGGGAATGTAAGTACGTATCGGGAATGTAAGTACGTACCGGGAATGTAATTACGTACCGGGAATGTAAGTACGTACCGGGAATGTAAGTACGTACCGGGAATGTAAGTACGTACCGGGAATGTAAGTACGTACCGGGAATGTAAGTACGTACCGGGAATGTAAGTACGTACGTAGGATGGCACGACGTCCGACACGATCGTATCGAAAGACAAATTTGTATGACAATATAAGTAATTCTTACCAGGTCTCCACAGACACCTGGCTGCAGGTGGTTCTCCAGCATACAACGCTTCCGACCATCGGCCGTGCAATCTCAGGCGTGAAGTTTGCTTCGAGTAAACCGCACCGCGTACTTCGTGGCGCGTACTCGACCACGAACTTGCCTACAAATTGAAAAATTTATATTTTTACTGTATTCATACACGTACTATAAACCTGAATTAGTTTAAAAATTCTTTATCAGTTTTATTTACTCTAAAACCCTATGTGAGGATTAAATGACGTAGTCTAGGGTTAGTTTTTTATTACTATTAATTAATATATATTAAAATAGTTCTATATAATGGAGCGTTCAAGTATTAAGTAACGATTTTTTTTCCTTTTGTAAAACGTTACGATGCGAGGCGGGGATTGAATTACGCGTTATTGTTAGTATTATTTTCGACTTTCCAGTACTTTACACCACATAATGGTATATTTTAGGTATAAAGAGTCACTGGGTGGTCACGAAAAGTTTCACTATTGGGTAGAGAAAAGCGTCACGGCGCGTTACATAAGGGGGGTCCAATAATATCCAAAATTTGCGTGACGTAATACTTGAACGCTCCCTAAATAGTTAGTTATTACTCAATAACATATGGATTTTTGAAAACTTAGTTATATTTCGATTTGTACATACATATTCAAATTATTTTATGTTCCAAAATCAAACTCTTCTACCTTTATTGATTAAGTATAATATTGAAATTATTACCTTAACAAAATTTAGTTTGCAGCTAATATCCGACCCCTGACAAGTGATAAGCATATCTCCGTACTGATCCACCCAACGCTGTCCGCCAAAGAGATTGTGGACACAGGTTGTTACCTGGAAGGCAAGGTATTAATTATTTTTTTAGTTTACACTTTTTGTATTGTTTTTATTTTATTTTTGACGTGACAACGTCTTATAAATCGATGGAGCCGGCTGCACGCACGAAAAAACATGACGCATGCGGCGTTACCTCGCTCTGAGGCGTTCCATTTAAGGCTTGAAGAGCAAGCGAGAGCGCGGAACGAGCGACAAAGGCGCACATTTTTATTGTTAAGTTTTTTTTTTTACCCCCCCCGGGGGGCCCCCCCCCCCCCCCCCCTCCCTTTCGGTTTTTTTTTGGGCCCTGGTTGACCAAGCGCCGGGCTCGCCGGCCCCCCGCCGTCCGGTTGGCCTGGGGTTCCTTCTGCCTAACCCCCCCCGCACGCCAAAGTCGGCGGCAGGGCGGGGGGGGGGGGGCGGGGGGCCGGGGGGGGGCGGGGGGGGGGCGGGGGGGGGGGGGGGGGGGGGGCCCCCCCGGGGCCCCCCCCCCGCCCCCCCCCCCCCCCCCCCCCCCCCCCCCCCCCGGGGGCCCCGCCCCCCGGCGGGCGGGGGCCGCGGGGCCCCCCCGCCCCCCCCCCCCCCCCCTGCCCCCCCTCGCCGCTGCCCTTCCTTTTTTTCTTTTTTTTTTTTTTTTCTTTTTTGGCTTTGGGGTCTGGCTTTTGGTGGCGGGGCGTGCTGCGGGCCTCCCGCCCCGGCCTCCCCCGGCGGGGGTGGTGTGTTTTGTGCGGTTTCTCTTTTTGGTTGTTTCCCCGCGCTTTATTTTCTTTTCCCTCCCCCCCTTTTTTTTTCTCCCTTTCTTTTTTTTTTTTTTTTTATAGTGGTGGGGGGGTTTGCGGTAGGGGGGGGGGGGGGCGGGGGGGGGCCCGGCGCGCGCGGGGGGGGCCCGGGGCGGGCGGGGGGTGCCCTTTTCCGCGTTCTTTCCTTTTTGGGGTGGGGGGGTTTTTTTTTTGGGCTGCGGTTTCTTTTCCCCCTTTTTCTTTTTTTGGTTTTTTTTTCGTTTTCTTTTTAAGGTGTTTGGTATGGTGTTTGTGAAGGGGGGGGGGGGGGGGGGGTGCGTGGGGGGCTGGGTTTTTCCTCGGGGGGTTGGGGTTGTGGTTTTGGTTTTTTTTTTTTTTTTTTTTTTTTTTTTTTTTTTTGTTTTTTTTTTTTTTTTTGGTTTTTTTTTTTCCCCTCTTTTTTTTTTCGCCTTTTTTTTTTCTGTTTTTTTTCTCTTTCTTTTCTTTTTTTTTTTTTTGTGTGTTTTTGGTTTTTGTGTGGTGGGGTGGGGGGGGGGGGGGGTTTTTTTTTTTTTGTACAATCGGACTCCGCGTTCGGCAGCGTTCGTACAAAATTTGACATAATTGTATTTATGCGTACAAATAAATGTAACTTGATCAATTCAATTATGATTTCCATTTACCTCCTTCTCTAGACTATATCCATACAAAATATCTATGAAACATATAAAATTAAAATTTTCTTTTGAAAAATGCAACCATTCCATCAGTATTTTCTTATGACGTTGTCACGTTCAACTATCATCAATAACCGACTTTACAGACTGCCGATTTTTTTACAGAATAATACAGTCTAATAGTCATACAGACAGTCTACAGTCATAATATATTACATTTAAAAACCACTGTGGTTGGTATTAATATAATAATAGCTGTCAGGAGACAAATGCAAATATGTTAAATGTTGTAGTAATCGAACCCGTTTTAAAATCTCTTATTTTTTTCTTACTATATCTTATATTTCTTACTTATATAAAACATACCTTAATTTTACATTCATTTAAAAAAAAATTGTCATTAGTATACAGAATCATTAAAACCATACACAATCTTCCCTTTATTATAAAGTTTTTACTACTCAACTAATTTGTAAACAAGATTGCGTATACATTCTAAATGGAACGTATAACAAAGATTTTTTTTTAATTTGGACGGATAAACTATTTCGAATATTTTTCTCAAAATGATACCTTATTCCATGTGTAGTGATCTCCAGTCGGCAGAAGTATGAGGTGCACTCGACCTGCGGGCTGGAACTCCATGGACTTGCCCCAAAATTTGGTTTTTATCCGCGCCTCTTGCCAGAATACCCAGCGGCTGGATACAGCGTGACACGCAGATATAGGCGGATGGTGGGACACCTGGAATTATATTATGATTTAAACAATTACGATTACAATTAGCACCTAACAATCTAATTTCATATAATATGTATACATTATGTTGTCATGGCCAAGTCAATGTATTTAAAAAGATAAAAGGGTTTTAACGTTGATATGGTCATTATGCAGCAGCGTTGACCTAGTGGCTTTAGTGTGAGTCTCTCACCCCTGAGGTCGAAGGTTCGAACCTTAGCTGTGCATCAATAGACTTTTTATGTGCGCATCTAACACTCGCTCGTACGGTGAAGGAAAACATCGTGAGGAAACCTGCTTGCCTTAGACCCAAAAAGTCGACGACGTGTGTCAGGCACAGGAGGCTGATCACCTACTTGCCTATTACAAATTATCATAGAAATCTGAGACCAGACCTAAAAAGGTTGAGTCACTGATTTATTTTATGGTCACCAAGATGTTGTTAGGTTAGCTAATTACGTAATAACTTAAGACAGAAGAACCCTTAAGTAGAGACTGAATAAGTTAACCGACTTGTTATTACATGGATCTCACAAGTTTTTACGGTAGAAGAACTGAGTTGCGAGACTTGGTTTTTTTTAAGTTATGTTTTGATGGCATATGTATTTCCACAGCTGAATTAAATTATACTGTACCCATAACATTTATAAAATAATAAAACCAATAGCACAACTGATATCTATGCATATTTTATAAATGTCATTTTTATATTTACTACTTTAAGTCAAAATAACTTTATACACTTATGAACGTCAGGAAATAATTTAAATTAATTCTAACTGTACATTTACTACCAGTTCGCAAGTCAAGGACGTAAAGCGGGCAAGAAGAACTGGCAAGAAACTTTCACTTTAACTTTAATCAAGGAAAGAAGAAAATAAATAAAATAAACGTTACTCATTAAGATGTGTGTTGGTGGTGTGTGATTGATCTATATATCTTAAATATTTTCTTTAAGATATGTCGCCATAGACAAAACAAGTCATAGTGGACGTGGTTCTGTGTAAAATTAAGTTTTAACTAACCTGCTCAGCCAAAAACTTGAACCCCTTATCTTCTCGCACACATTCGTAGGTCTCCCCAAGGAGCGGATTAAAAGGCTTGCTCGCCGCTCTGTGAGCGCTGGCAGCGTACGAACTCACAGCGAACGCGGCCACCAAAGCCATTCGATTCACGGGGTCTTCGCATGTTGACGCTGAATCGAGGAGTTCCGAGTACTCTAGCTCTTCGCAGAGACGCTGTGGGGTTTCATTTAGTTAATTTAAGAAAATTATTATTATTAAATTAAGAAAATTTAACCGACTTAAAATATCTTCAAATTCGCTTTTTGACGAATTTGGACTTGGTTGCTGGAATATTCTGACTTTTTAGAGAAATTTGAAAAATAAAGACGTTATTTAAATTTAGCACAGGTATTAAAGACCCAAAATAGATTATCGTATACTCTGATTTTTAATTACGCAGAATTCTGACTATCATTTTTGACATGTCAGAGATAATAAACCTTTTTCGCCGGGCACATTTTTCAATTTCAATACGAGTCTGAACATCTGAGACATACATTTTATTGTTAGTTAATGTATCCATTTTATTACGCGCGGTGCTCCACATTGAAAGTGGTTTAACGTTGACTGATAATTACGTCCATTTTCATCACAAACAGTAAAAAACGCACAAGTAAAGATAACATTTTTTTAACGGTTTACTAAACCTGGAATTAGTAGGCAGTGATGCCAGCTAAAGAATAAAATAAAGTAATTAAAGTCAATTCGATTGAGTAAGTGAGTTAGATTTACCTTTTTGTAGGTAAAACATAAAATAATTATTTTACATTAAGAAATATGATTATGAAAGTGTTGCTGCGTTGTTAATTAATAAGAAAGTGGAGGTTTCACCTTAAATATAATCCAAAAATCAGACTCAAACACGGTTCGGTGAATAGAATTTTTGAAGTGAAAACTTCTTTAGCGGCGTTGTACACTTTTTTTGGAATGGGTAAAAAATGTTAAACTCGCGTCAGGATACGTGACCTGATCGAAAATTCGTAAGATGGATGGAGAGTAGACAGCTGGCGCGGCGTATTTAATATAATATAAACAGTCATGTTTGTGTACGATGGCGCAGTAAATAAATATTGTATTCTACCACATAAATTAGTAAAGTACTTTTATACTGATAAATAAAGCAATTCGTGCAAAATTATTCCCTAACCATTCCAAAATATCAAAAATGCACAACGTTAATATTCAAGTTTTCACTTCTGCCGGCACTCCCGAAGTGCAACCCGTCGTTTTTTTTTTGAGTATTCAGTGTCATAAAACTAACCTGCAGCATATTTAACGGTTCGTTAATAGTAACCGGCATGGATATCTGACTGAGATCTTTTCCAATATTCTTATATAACAGGTTCCAGAGAGATGGACCTCCTGGATTAGGTCGTGGTGCTGGAAGAACTCGTCTTCTGCTCCATTGTTCCCCGCCATTCTCTGTGGGTCCTATTTGTTCTGTCGCCACCACTGAAAAGAAAAATCTTTATAAGATATTGTTTGACTCATCCAAAGCAATTGGTTTAGAGAATATTATAACTATAATAAACTGAGACTTTCATTTATCTATACCAATATTACAGAGAAGAAAGATTTGTATTTTTGTATTGAATTAGCTCATAAATGACTGGACCTATCTGTTGAAATAAGTCTTTTACCATTAATGTGCGACATTATCCGTGAGTAACATAGGCTATATTAATTTCAAGAAGAAAAAATAGTTTTTTCCTTAATTTAACAGGAGGCTAACGGCCACGAGGCTCACCTGATGTTAAGTGACACATTGCCAGAAGACTCGTTAGTGCGTTGCCGGCCTTTTAAGTAGACCGTTTACGTTTAAATAATAAAAATTAATATCAAATATAAAGGTAAAGTACACGATTTTTAAAAGTAGATACGAAAAATTTATAAGTAAGTAATATCCCCTAATATTAAGTCCCTTAATATTAGGGGGTATTACTTTCTTGTGTCTAAGGCAAGCTGGTTTCCTCACGATGTTTTCACTCTTTGCATAGCCGGGTATCGAACCTTAGATCATAGGGATGAGAGTCGCACGTTGAAGCCACTAGGCTGACACCGCTCTCATCTCATGTGTTGGCATATACCATTAAACAAATTTTATAACGTTTTTACAACTTAAATCATAGAAAAACACTTTTTACTTTACTTTACTCCGGGGAAATAAATACAGATAACACAACTTTTTCTACAGCTGTGATACTTTTTAACATTCAACACCTTTTGTCTTCAGACACCGTGACCACGCACGCTGTAAAGCACGCTAAACGTCGGTTAAATTTAAAATTATGTAAAATAATTGTAAATTTATAATAAAACATAACTTCAAATCCGTTAAAAAAGTGTTTTTTAATGTCAAAAAGTTATGTCAATAAAAGACAATACTAACTTAAATGATATTTTCAGTTTTCATTACATTATTTTTGCAACTACTTACAACAACATAACAAAATAAGTACTTACTTGCAGCGTCACTATTATCGGAGCTGGCTGATCCTTCTTCACTGCTCAGGGAACCCGCCTCTGATGAAGAATCACCGTCAAGTTCAATGACACCAGTCTGCCAAGAAATAAATTAAACTAAATTATTTTTATCGACTTAAAAATATACAGGATGGCCAAAAAGTCGTGGATCAAACGCAAATAGGGGATAGACGAGGTCATCAGCTGCAAAAAATTGTTCTACGGGAGGTCTCTAAGCTCAACCCCTGCAGAGTTATAATTTTAATAGCGTTTTTTTTATAAAAAAACTTTTTTTACTAATTCTTATTAAAATTCGAAAATATCTACAACCTGTATCTTTTTCATAATATCTATCATAAGTCTGATTTGTTGTTGTTGTTTTTTCGTCCTAGAAAGATATTAGAGCGACTCATGGCCATGTGTATTCCAATAATATTTTTGATTGCATGCAAATAATTAATTACAATTAAATAATCAAAGACTGGAAAAGGAGTCATTATAGTCGATAAAGTTCAGTTTACATTTGAAAAATTAAATAAATAAATATTTATTATTATTCTCTTACATTAAGTGTAACATATATTCCATTATTATTCGAATGTTGTTTTTAAATTATGTCCGATGCCGTAGCATCTTCCGTGGGTGACTTCATTCTGTTAATTTTGTGTCACGGTGCGCGCGCATCGCAAAATTTCACTCTCATCAATTTTTGATAACGCGCCTAAAGAAGTATAACTTCAAAACGCTCAGTTGTGGAACGTCGAGGTGATATGGATGGAATTTCGTATTCTGCCTCGATGTTCGCTGATAAAACTCAGCTGCAGGAATTTCTTCTTACCTCATCAGCGTTAATAAGATTATTCTCCTTGACCTCTCCGTTGTCGTATTCTTCGGCGTCAAAGAACTCCGATCCAGACACACAAGAGGAACTGTAGCTTACCGAGTGTTTGAATTGGTTCTGTAAAAATATCGAGCTAGCTCTATAATAAAATTAAATAAATAAATTAAATTCAGAATTATTGATTGTTAAAATTTCGTGATACAAAACTTCAAATAAAAATATTAAAAACCTGCTCTATCTTTGGACTTCCGTCCCTCAGAATTGACGCCATAAATAACAGTTGGCGTAACTATAGTCGTATTTTTAATTAGACGAAGCCAACTGACAGTAGCTAATGTCACTTTGTAAAATAATGTTGCCATATTTAAAGTAATAGTGATACGTTCAGTTCTTGTTCAATCAGATGAATGAACAATGAGTGTGAATAGTTAATCATTTCAAACTATAAAATAATATTATTTCTATTGTAAAATTGTATAAAAGTGCTCTGATATAAGTTAGGTACTATTAGTATGTAACTACAATCGGTTTTTTGACGGCTTATTACAAAGCGCGGCTCGGCGACTAGTGCCATCACCGATCATTAATTCAGTAGTTTTTTCAATCATTCACTTTGTCACAACACTATTTTTATTTCATTAATAACTGACAACACCGTAAACGTCAGTTGACTTCGTCTAATTAAAAATACGACTATAGATTAGCATAATACTATATTCATTCTATTTGAATCGTATGCAATTCATATAAAAACTATTTCACACCTCTCACAAACACAAATACCTACAGTATTTTATTTATATATAACATATTATATATTTTAGTCTAGAGAGATTTTAGGGTGTTTTATGCGAACTAAGGAGGTATGATTTTTTTACATTATTAATACTAATAATAAAATTAGTAACAATGAAATATTGTATACCTTTTATACTAGTATCTCGTAAGTGTTCATTAGGCCAATTTTAAAGATCTTTTTGACGTGAAAGTGATACATACAATCAATGGCACAAAGCGTCAAAATGATATTATTAAAAATACCAATGTATCATAGTATATATGTCAATATGTCCTACCCTTTAAAACGTGTGTAAACTTCTGGAAAGATGATTAAATAGTTTGATAACCCACGGATTTGCTATGTGTATATAATATATAAAACAAAGTCGTGTTAGTTACACCACTTATAACTCAAGATAGGCTGGACCGATGTTTGTTATCTCTTATTTGGTAGATTATTCTCTGCTCCGAATAGCAGAATAAGTAATAAAATATCGGATAACTTGTCGAATAACAATAAATTAATTTTACGAATGCAAGCACCATGTGGTGCCATCTGTTGACAAAATTAGGCATTATTTTACATCGAACTCATGTCAGTTCAAGAAATTCCGATCTTGAAGTGAATGAGGAGATGCATAGCCAGGCTTTGATCATGATCGAAGACATGTGTTACCTCATCAAAAAATGATGTATTTCAGAAAGTGCTTTAACATACAGTATCGCAATATTGGCGCCTTAGAAGAGACCTAATGTGTAAATCTGCTATTTTTCTTTCGCAATGCAAAGGCAAGCAATAAAACATTACTGTATTTGCCAAAAAAAGTTGTATTAAGAGCCCCGCGTTGCCGTTTCACGTCCGACGAACGGCAACGCGAGGATGGCCAAAAAGCTTGTTGTTTCATCCAGCGCAATGTCAGAACAAGAGGTAAAGCGAAAAGAGATAACATAGATAGATAGCGAGCCATTCATAAAAATGGCTAACAAGCAAGTGAGAACACGATAACATTGAAAGAAAAATAGTGTGTGGAAATTTCATAAAACTTGTTCCAAGAAATACGTGTTTTTTCGTAAGCCTTACAAGATTATGAAAAAAAAGTTTTACATTTAGAAACTCCATTACATTTGCAAGGTTTCTATGCAAATATTTCTTCCGGTTACCATTAATATGTACTCAACATTATAAACGCCCAAACTTCATATAAAATTTGTGGAAAAAGGTTGATTTTTGGAGGTTTGTAGTGAATTTATTTCTTAAAATTTTGATTTCACGTTTTAATATAAACCTAGATATAGTGCACAAGATGCCTATTAGTTCAAAAGTTTCAAAGAAATATCTGTTACAACGCCATAATCACGTACGAGCGTTTGTATGAAAAGATAGACGGGTTGAACGCTCTTAATGTTATTACCTTAATGAAATCCTAAATCAAGTTTAAAGTTAACACGATATTATTAGACTGTGGTGTATAGTATAAATGGGGTGAAATTATATATCTAAAAGAAATAAATACTTACATGATCAGAATTCGCCCCCATAGACGATATTTCAGCCAGGTCCGAAGCGTCGTGAATGCGCGAGAGCCGCGAACGTAATTCTGTACGTAATACTTTACACGTCATTACTTATGCACTCCGGTAATAATATTTCACGAAAAAAGCTATTTAATGCATATATTAATTATCAGTGAGAGACTCACTAAGTCTAATTTAATTCAGTTACTTACTTAAACTCTAATAAACGCTAACCAAACATCCGTTTCTCATATAAAAGCACGCTAGTTTAAAAGTGCTAAATTAAATAAAAATAATATGTAACGCCTATTAACGTTAGGACGAAACACAACTCCCAACGGAAAAAAGCACTACCCAACGATTCTTTGCTTTCCTAACCTTGAACTCTGGTAATTCAGTTAGCAATTCAAAGAAGATATATATTGTTTGACAGGCGTATTGTACTGTACAATAAAAAATGGATAAAAATCCTACTATTTAAAAAATTGAGAGATCTCATCCAAAATTGGTTGACAAAGGAAAAATAAAAAAAAGGGTGCGTGTACCTATGTACGCGCGTAAGAAGTTATACTTCTTTGGCATTATTAAAAATAGTTTTTGATTGCATGCAAATAATTAATTAAGTACAATTAAATAATCAAAGACTGGAAAAGGAGTCATTATAGTCAATAAAGTTCAGTTTACATTTGAAAAATTAAATAAATAAATAAATATTTATTATTATTCTCTTACATTAAGTGTAACATAAATTCTATTATTATTCGAATGTTGTTTTTAAATGATGTCCAATGCCGTAGCATCTTCCGTGGGCAACTTCATTCTGTTAATTTTGTATCACGGTGCGCGCGCATCGTAAAATTTCACTCTCATCAATTTTTCATAACGCTAAAGAAGTATAACTTCAAAAATACAATTAAATATTGAAGGTTCCCACCAGAATTCTGCTGTAATGCCGTGGATAGATTCGTTCTGAGTGCAGCAACCACGCCGCTTGGCGGTGCCGGGCTTTCTGCTGACTCCATGGCTGCGCGGAGACGACCACGTTCGCAGACCTAAAAAAAAATCACCAAAATCACTGGACTGTGTGTGTTTTAATAGTCAATCGTGATAAATGTCGGCATACATTTTAAAGCGTGTATATAATTTATTGAGCAAAAAATAATTTTAATTCCTGGTTCAAACGCTAGAAAAAGGTTCTCTTCACATTATTCAAACCCCTTTGACACAAACTCGACGACAATATGTCACTACATCTTTGCTTCTGACAGCTTGATTAAATTTTACACACCAAAGCAAGTTCTATACAAAAAGGTATCCTTACAATTTTATTACAAGATTATTATTATTGTTCAATTAATAATGTCAGCAAACCTCTGCTTTGATCTATTTTTATTAACAGACTACGTTTCATCAGGAGCTCCTAGCCCCTAGGGTTGTTTGCCGAGAAAAGACATCTAAAAGGACAACCATCTCCACAAAATCCAGCTCTCCTACTAAAACAATTAGTTAGACATATTGTTTCTGATAAGTCTTTAATAGCTCACCAGCGTGGCAACAATGCTCTTCAGATTGGTGACCAGGTCCTTAGCGAGTACCGTAAAGTCTTCTCTCAGCTGGTGGTCCGGAGTGAGGCTTGTGAAACTAGTAGGACCTGCATTTAGAACCTCAGCCCCTGGAAGAGATTGAGGCCTGGTGGCTGCACACGCTGAAATATATAATTTTTTATTTAGATTGTTTAAGTCGGTGCGACAAAAAATCTTGAGTAAAAGGCATGCCTTTGAACCAGAAGTCAACAGCTGTGTCAGGTACAGAAGATTGATTTCCTACTTATCTATTAGAAAACAGAAAGGACGGACTTCGATTCTGCTCTTTTCAGATGAAACAGATATTGTGTGAGCGAGACAAGAATAGTTCAGTTATTGCGAGCCGAGTTACTGTTTTTGATCAAGTCCACGACTTATGATGTATGTTTCAAGATAAAACCAATATTAATCTGTTCTAACTAAAGTATTGATATCTCTTTCTGTCACATCGTAAACTGAGTTTGACACAAAGATAATAATATGGTTTAGGGTTCAATTAAGTAATTTTTTTTGACACACCTCGCATTTGTATAGTAAATTATACTAGGGAATAATATAACAAAACCATGTATGGAGCTAAAGTAAACTATACAACATTAAATTTACCCAACCAAATAAATATGTACGATGTGTATCCAAATCCATGCACTAATGTCGAAGACCACACAATACAAAGTTGTAAAACCGTGATGAATAATACCCTAATCTACAACATATTACGTTAAATCTACAGCTATCTGGTTCAAAATCTATAAAGAACTAATTAATATCCAATTATAATAATACTTCTCATAACTATATAAACTAGTAGCAGTTTCAGTATAGGATTCGTTAGCGCAAACTAGCCCGTATGTGGAAACGTACAGGATTTTGACACTAGGGGGATCAGTACATTTTTTTAAGTCAGGAAATGCATTACGGGGTCATAGTTCGCGCTAAGTCTTGGCTCTGAACCTAGCCTAGCGTGAAAGAACGTAACGCTCGACCCTGAGAACGATCGAAACGTACAAACGTTTGCACCCCGTAACCAATGCGCGCGCTCATACGCTAAAGAATTGTCCCAATTGAAACGGCGTTTGTCAGGCACACAAGGTCAATCACTTATCTAATATATAAAATTCTTGTGTCGCGGTGTTTGTAGTTAAACTCCTCCGAAACGGCTTGACCGATTCTCATGAAATTTTGTGTGCATATTGGATATGTCTGAGAATCTGACAACATCTATTTTTCATCCCCCCTAAATTTTAAGGGTAGTACCCCTAAATTATTATTTTTTTAATTTTTAGATTAAAATTTTTTTATTATGATACAGCATTAAAAAATACATACAACCCCTAATTTTCACCCCACTACGATCAACCCCTATTTTTATATAAATGATATACATGGCAAAACGACGTTTGCTAGATCAGCTAGTAATTTATATTATTGTAAAGCAAAACGAAATCTAGGACAAAACAACTTTAAAAGTTAAACAACTTTTTAATCATACGGAGGCTCTTTCTAACCTAATCTACTAAACTCTTTTGCAAGAAATGGACATCAAGGGAAATTTACGTTCTAAGGTAGATTTCAGTTAATTAAATACAATTTTATTGTCTGACGTAGTTTGTTATCTTATTAGGTTTTAACAATTTGTTAATATTATTATTCGTAACTTTATTTATTACAAAATATTTTTGTCTTTATTGCTGACCGCGTCTTATTGCTTGGCGGTGTACATAGCTTTTAAAGAATTCATCAAAAATGAATAAAATTACCAGAGTTCACTTTACGCGAAATAATTTATGGCGCGTCTAAACGGGCCATGTTTTGCTGCAATTGATGGCTGCACTGTTGGCCACTAATTGCCCGGCCATTACAAAATATTTTAATGCAGCTGATGGCCGAACAATCTATGGCTGGGCAATGTGTTGCAATATGTCTGCAATAGTATGGCCCATGATGCAGACTCCTAAACGGGCTACACAAACCGGAAACAATGGCTAACGAAATCACACTTGTCGCAGCAGCTTATATTGTTTTAAAAAAGAAACAGAAAAAGAAGAGATTGTGGATTCGACCTTACTTAAATAGGCGTGAAACTATAGACAATTTGAGTCTAGAAATATGCCTTGATAATAAATTATTCAAGAACTTTACTAAAATGTCAAAAGCAGTCATTTTTAAGTAGTAACCTAACGTCAAAATGCAGCTGATCGCAAAACACAGAATATAGCAACAGGCACACTTCACTCATAGCAAACTTCATGTCACGTAGAAAAGGATACACTGTGCCATAACAAAGAGAGTGACTGAAACAACAATAGAACTGGCTGAGCAATATTGCAGTTGAATTCGATAGCCTAGCGATCGTCCGGCCACCCATCGGGGCAACATCGGCCATATGTGGCTATACAAAACTTGTTTGGCTATATGGCCGGGACATTACTGCAATATTGCATAGTGTGGCTGCTATTGTTTGCAATGTTGCCGGCCACAGTGTTGCAGCCATCAATTGCAGCAAAACATGGCCCGTTTAGAAGCGCCATTACACAATTATAAACATACAAAGTACGGTCACACAATTAAATTAAATGTGCCCGTTTTTGCAAGAGTTTATGTGTACGTTTAAATTCTACAGGTACTATATTATAAATCAAAACCAATAAGATCCAATTACAAAAAATACCCTGTACTAGCTTGTACGTCGTAAACGGTTTAGTTTAAAATAATAAAACCTCTATAATATATAAACATACATTTAAGATATTTTTAGTGCTTTTCAGCAGTCCTGATGAAGGATTACTCTACGTACTCTCTCTCTATCGCCTCTACGAACAATATTTTTATTAGGGCTATCGTTTAATACTTAAGTCATGAGCTAAGAAATCTAGTTACAAATGATTTTTACTCACATTGGTAGCCCCTCAGTAATCGCATAATGTACAGAACAAGAATCCTTCCGTAAGGCACGAAATATCCGCCACTGTCACTCGACATATTTAATACACTTTGATTATTGTTAAATTTATTAACTTTACTAATTTATTTTTTTAATAATTTCTAAACGGTGCAACTTCTCTAATTTTTTCCTTCCCAATATTTAATCGAATCTGAACTTATATCATATTGTAAACACGCGGATTCTGTGACATAATCACCAGATCTGTTTTATCAGATAACGCACTACCGGTCACAATTTGAGATTAGTTGAAGGTCATTGTTCTAGATAAACTATAAACGCAAACAATGAGGTACCGAGTAATAAAAATGTAGTCTTTTAAAACCCCATTGAAGTAATCAACCAATAATTTCTTGAAGAGCGCCCCAATTCCTACAAGGTAAAGCGATCACGTGATGGGAAATTCTGTCTGAAATCGGGAAATATTTCGCCTTATTCTGCGTTCGTAGAAAAAAACGACACTAATAATAGAAAAATATTTAATACATTGAAAGTTTTATTATAACGTATTATCTAGTTAAATAAAGTTTATTTAAATATTTTAAAATATGTTGACTATGCTAACTTCAGGGTGTCAGTTTTATTATGACGAAGTTCGCGCGCATTGTTAAAATTTACTCTCATCATTTTTCCCTAACGCGCCAAAAGAAGTATAACTTCAAAAAGTAAAATATAAATGGTAAATTAAGCCATTTTGCCAATTTAACCAATCCATATGAGATGAGATGCATTAGACCGGGGCCTTAACACGAAATCCCTTTACGACATGCGTGACCATCTACCGCCAAAGGAATTGGTATAAGAGTGTCAGCTCACGCTCTCACGTGACTATTTCCATACAATTCCGTTTAGGGTCTGTGGGTGACGCCTGTCGCACAGCGATTGTTTTTTGTTTTAAACAACCATAGATTATGAAGAATTTGATAACCAAATATTTAGGTCAGCACAATTGAGCTAAGCAAATATTTATAACCTGTCCCAAACGTTTCATGGAATGATTTCAAATCCCATCCCTGTACCAATATGTACAGTATATAGCAAATGAGTAAATCCATGCAGATTTTATGAGATGAAATCAAAACAAAAAAGGAATAAACCTTACGAACTAAAGTAGACGCCAGAAACGTAGAAAAAAACGCTGAAATATACAAAAATATTATTAGACATCATGCATTTATTAAAAAAAGGCAAAATTTGTTTAATTATTAAACGTTATAGGTCTTCTAAGACTAAGACTGTGTGTGTGTGACAGAAATAAAATATTAAATAATTTTAAATAAAACAAAGGCAAGCTAAAACCAGTCATGCAAAAAAGCGTATGGGCGTGCCTTGTAAAATATCTATAGTTTGAAATGAATAATTAATTTGCTGTGGAATTAAAAATAATATCACAGAACTTATTATGAATCCTTTGTCGCCGTCTTTTTGATTTCGTATCCCTAAAATAGCTTTTGAATATTTTTCATTTAGAGAAATCGATAACACATTTAGATACTTGGCGCGCGTTACAACACCGTTATGATGGAGATTTCATTAATACGTAAGACAAATAATAATGTTAATATGTAAGACGTTTAGCAGTAATTAAAAAATATATCTGTCTCATTATCCAGTATGCCATAGACAGAGATAGCACAATTTTCTCCCAATTGGAATGACATGTACAACTTCATGCAAACTTACCCATCTCATACAATCCTTAACACCGACACAATTCCAAAACATTAAATCTACAATTAAAACAAACACGGCTAGAGAAAAATTTAATAAAAAAAAACATCACAAAACTCGCACTATGTAATATGTGCTGTGTACAACAATTTAAAATAACAAGAAAAACACAGGGATGTTGCAAAATACTAAAAAAAACATTTTTGTAAAACATTAAAATGCGATCTAAATCTTTAATTACAAAGCTCGTCATAACATTTTTAACCAAGAATTTACAAAAGGTATTTATTTAAGTTATTCGCTTTTAAAACAACATATGATTTCTTTATAAAAACGCTTTTTACCGACATTTTTTTTTAAATTGCAGAATGCAACTCAAAGCAGAAACCCCTTGCAGATTCAACTAGCACTTCTTACATCCACACATAATAAACACCAAGTTAGAAAAAGCATAAAAATGGAATTATAGCGGTCAAAGTTAGTTTTTCAGTATTTCACAACAAAAAGCATCTACACACATAACAAAGAGACGGTAATAGTAAAGAGACATGTGTTAGAGTGAGACAGGTATTTACCAATAGGCAGCGAGGCGGCCGAGTTGGGGACGGATGATGCCCCTCCACCGGGAGAGGGGGGCGCTGTTAATGTAGAAAGGGCCTAGAAATATACAAAAATACAATAATAAATTTCGATGTATTAGTAACCAATGAGTCTGTACCGTTAAAACAAGTTAACATACTAATCTATAGGTAGTTTTCTTCGTGTGAAGTTCTGGTTCTCTCTCTTAGGTTATATTATAGATTTGCATAGAAATACAAAGAAAAACTGTTTAAACTAAATACTTCAACTATACGACAACTATTACTAATAACTAGAATTAGTTAGTATTTTATTTGAGGAAGTGGCGCGCGGTGGGCAGCAACCGCTTGTAGCGGTCCGTGTATGGTGGGTCCGGCAGCTCTAAGCAGTCGACCGCACGGCGAAACTCGACCGCAGAGCGACTGCTCCGACCGCTCAGAAACTGGTCGTGCGGTCCGTGTATGGCGCATATGAATTTAGTATAGGAAACTGCAGTTCGCCGTGCGGCGACCGCTCTAGAGCAGTCGGTCTTGACTGCAACATGCGGTCCGTCTATGGCCAGCGTATGACTTCGAATTCTACGTGCATGTCCGTTAGTTGCTAACGTATAAGACGTAGATCACGAGTTCAAGAGAGAACTTTAGAGATTGCGAAAATTCAAGCCAAGAAAAGTCTCTTCGTGGTTCCTTTTGTTTGAGAGGATTTCATGAAAGTTATTGACAAGTAAAAATTTTAATTTGTGATATTAAAATGATTATCAGCGCACCATATGAGAACTGCTAGGGTCAATATGAGGTGGTTCAACGGTAGCACACTTGCTGTTTGATTTCTTCTTTCGTAAGCCGAATTTACGTCTGTCTTTTTTCACGTTTGGAGACGCGCCATCCATTGATACCTAAAACATATGTATGTATTACCATTTGCAGCACGGTGTTAGCTTAGTAGGCCTAAATCCTGAGACCTTTCGAACACCAAATGATACAATTATACAATATAAATGTGGTGGTAAAAATATTTATCTACTTCTTAACAATTATTCTTATTTTTAACACCATTACACAAGACTTCATTACTTAGGCTGCGAACTTTTACTAATATTATTATTATTTTCTACTAACTATTATTACTTTCTTTTTTTTGCGACTAAGGCGCAAACTAGCTGCTGTGGTCTGGCAGAATGACCAGTGCTGTGGAACATTCTGCTCCTCAGCATAATGCTGAGCCCCTGGCCCAATTACAGCCACAGCACACACGCATTACACGCACTTGAAACGAATCGAATGGGAAAAGGGATTTTTTTAAATATATATCTCATTATATTTTTTATTAAATTTTTTCTTTGATTATTGTTATTTTGTGTGTAATAAATGATATGTCTATGGTACAATTAAAATATGCGTGTGCCTTCAGCGTCGTTTTTAAGCACCTCGAAGAAACAGAAAGGGCTAGTGATATTCAGAAACAGAACTTAGCGCCAAGTCTGAATCACGTACTTAAAAAATGGATTGGATTTTGTCGTACGAGAGCTTAGGACTCAGGAATCGACTGCTTGCATTACATAAAGCTGTATATTATCATGATCAATAAAAACTACATGTAAATGAGCGGTATTGACTAAATTATACGAATTATTCTAAAACAATAATAAATTTACGAGGTAAGTATATATACCATATATATACTTATATGACATCGTGTGAAGGGAGGGGGTCAATACTTTTGTGACGTCACATGTTAAAATTTTAAATACTAAAACGCAAAGTTTGGATGTGAATTAAAAATTTTAAGAATTTACGAACTTGATCTATATTTAATTAATTAAATGAAAATAGCTGTTTTCTCTCGATTATTTTTAAATACATACATAAATTTAAAAAAGGGTGCGTGTACTTATGTACGCGCGTAAGAAGTTATACTTCTTTGGCATTATTAAAAATAGTTTGGCCTTTGTTCCACCTCAGTTTTTGATGTTTCACAGCCATAAGATGACAACTCTTTTTTGTATTCAATTTAGTGCACTTACACTGATTCATCAATTGTTTTTTGTCTCTTGTCCTTATATTTGCTAGAGAAAAATTACATGTTTTGATTAAACAATGTGGTAATTTTTATAATCAAAACATTACTCGATAATAATAATACAAACTGATAGTTAACCTCAATTGTAAATGAAGCACTTAGGAAGGTTGATGAGCACAGTTTTTTCACAAATATTAATTAGTATTGGTTTAAATATTCAATTTAAATCACTTCTGATTATATATATGTAATTCAAAAAGCATTGCTAAATTTCTTTGAAAAAATAATCAAAACTCCTTTATTTGTTTAAAAGGTAAATGACAAATGTCATTATGGTCATTCAAAATTCTTGGCATACGAACTTCACGCATATTCTATTTCTTTTTACTTGTAGATTGTCTTATTCCTATCTCGCTCGCGCACGCTATAATCACACCTCCTAATTTTGTGTCACAGGTGCGCGCGCATTGTAAAATTTCACTCTCATAAATTTTTCATAACGCGGCTAAAGAAGTATAACTTCAAAAAATATTTTATGCTACTACAAGATTTTTGTTACTAATCTGAAAATACTTTCTATCTTGACCAAAGGTTTAGTACCTGAAGTGTGAAGATTCATTCTAAAAAGCAAGTTACTCAGATATATCTCAGCATATAATTGTTTCAAGTAGTTCAGTGAGATATATGTGGATGTAATCATATTATAATGACTCTACAAAAAATTTCATAGCGCTAACCACGAATGTTACCACAAACAAAAATAATTAATCTCTAGATTTGCTTATTTGGAAATGTAACATAATCAGTCTCATTATTAAATAGTATAATCGACTAAATATAAAACATATTCTAATAATATTTGAAAAAATAGTAACTTTTTTGGTTTGGGCGGAACAAATCACAACACATCAACTTCCACGACAGCCGTTTTATTCATCTGTAAACCATGATTATGTTAATTATCTGTTTGTGTAAGCCACAAAAGTTAAAGAACAGTTTCGGATATAGGCGAGCAATATTTTACCACTAAAATAATAATTAAATAATATTTCCTGTACGAAATCTATACAAAAACTAAGCTATTTTAGACAATAGAAAGAAAAAATTGCTAAATCAAAAAAAATATGATAGAAGTGCTGTTTATAAGATTGTTTAGTCTGTAAGCAAGACACGTTTCGTTTCACTATTTTAAATTAGTTGCAGTGTTGGTCTAGTGGTTTCAGCGTGCGTCTCTCATTCCTGAGGTCGTAGATCCGATCCCGAATATAACATTCGCTCGAATGGTGAAGGAGAACATCGTGAGGAAACCGGCTTGCCTTAGAGCCAAAAAGTCGACGGCGTGTGTCAGGCATAGCTGATCACCTACTTGCCTATTAGATTGACAAATGATCATGAAACCGATTCCGAAATCTGAGGCCCAAAAAGCGTTGTAGCGCCACTGATTTATTTATTTTTATTTTTTATTTTAAATCTTGTTGTAACTACAAAACATCTTCTTAAAACAAAAATTAAATAATAATTTTCTACTTACGTCAGTATCATGATGAGTCTGTTGCTGTAGCTCCAGTGCATCCAAAAGCCGCTGAAGCTGTTGCACTGAGAGCTGAGCCTGACCCAACTCGCGTGTCACTGTATCCAAGGGAGCACCCGATTCTAAAAAGTGACCTTATCAGTGGAAAATGAATTTTAGCCTTTTTTGTCAAGGCAACTTTCATAGGCTACAATACCCCATATTGCTTAGATGTTTCTTTTCCTCGATATTATTACTTATTAATCGACTTCCTTAGTTACCTCAATACACCTTATTACTAGCGCAAGTATTCAAACATTGTGTAAGACAAAGATTTTGTGTCAGTCATTGTATAGTAATTATTGTTACATCATATGAAAGTACACAAGGAAATAGGTAAATAGCATGCTTACTTATCTAAAAGCGATAATGCATTCATGGCGACATGGCTGGTATAATACTATTAAATAGAACTTGAACCCGATTTTCTTTTACCAGTTTTAAGTCTTAGCGCACTCGAAACATTGATATATGTAAAGAATATAAGAAATTCGCATTTAGATCTATTAAAGAAGTTTTTTTTAAAAGTGTAGTACTCGCGTCGATTATATTACCATAATATAACATATAAATTTTCGAGGCTACAAATCTTTATTTATTCAAAAGAGTAAAATAATAAGCTCTTTTATGTTTTCCAATAATTTTGAATTTAGCATACCTATAATCCAACTGGCCAGCCTGCCGCCAGGGGTGCCAGACACGAAGCCGGCTTGTGGCCCACGCAAGGGCCCAGATGTGGGACTTACCAGCCCTGAGAACAGGCACAGGGTGGATATGTTCAAGCTATGAAACTATATTGTGGTGAAAAGTATCGTTTAAAATGTAAGTGCCTTTTTTGTTGTTTCTTATATATCAAAATTACGCATTCAATCATACATTCTTCACCTACACACGCAGCTACATAATTGTTTATACTCTTGGCTATTTTTTTGACTAAAACAAATGGGTATTTATTCGCAAACCAGCTACCACTTACATTTCCAACGTGCGATTTGAATCAGACTACTAATTCTAGTGAATTTGGTAAGTTGTTTTTGCACCTAGTCGAACATTAATAACACACTGAATTTATGTAAGAAACAACAATTATCTAAAGGATTGAATAAATCGAAAAGAATTGTCATGCAATGAATTATACATGGGATTAAGTAAAACGAATGAATCTATGAACTGTTATACCACTACAGCTACGATTTTGTTCTAGAGAAGGAATACACGATACACAACTTGACAACATGATGATGTATGACGTATAGTGTAGTAATAATGTGTATCACTTCAAACTACCCTACCCTCCCCTATCTAACCTAACCTAATATAAGTTATAATGTATATAAAGAAAAACAAGCCTTGCGACCAATAAGATACATGCAAGAATTTTTGAAAATATTTAAGCAATAAACTGACTTTCTTTTAAAATTACTACAGATTTGGCTACAGTTACATTATGAGCACTAACCAGAGGAGTAAGAGGGGTCGCTGGTACACCTATAAATGGTCTTTAAATCATTTCTACTCTCCTGACTGACATGCAACGACGACACGCATTTGACCGGCTTCAATTTTTGATTTAAAAATAGCTGATAAACATTAAAATCTTTCCACAGACGAAGAGTTTCCGTTTGTGCCGCCTTAGATCTCTTATATGAAGGACCCAAAACCATTTCGTTAATAAAATCTTGTTGGACTTTCCATTTCCTTCTATTTATTTTTGATATATCCTTATTTTTCAACGATCTAGATTTAGGTTTTAAGTTTCGCATGTTTTGTGATGTATTACGGGGTGATAGTACATATTTGACTGTCGTGTTCATCGCACAATCTTTCGTGCATGCCTCTCTGTGCTTATTTTGATTGGATACAGCTTTATCGGTTTTTAATATGTCCTCTACGCTGGATTGGTTCAAATCAGTTTGCGTGCTGCTTATATCGAATACGGCCGCTAATTTTTTTAGTAGATCCGGATTTAAAGTAACAGCTTCCTTTTCTTCAGTTTGAAGCTCAGCATTATTATTAAGAATATGCTCCGCACTGATGGCTACGTTGTTAATACGATATTCTCTTTGAAATTCTACGCTAGTATTAGTTGTAGTTTCTTTGAAATTACTTATGTTAGAAATATCATATTGCGTTTCGGAATCTTCAAACTTTTTGGTGACGCCATCTTCATTATATATTTTACCTAGAAGACTCAAACCCTGAATTTTACTGGCATTTAAAATGGCTTTTTCGTGTTTTTTCTTTAGTTTTAAATAAAAATTGTTAATATCTTTATATAGACTTGGTACGTTCTTGGATAACAATGCTAAGTTTTCTAAGAGTAACAGTATAAACTTTTCATCTATAGCTCTCGGTTGTTTTTCAAAGACATTCATTTCTTCAGGATAGCTTAGAGACGAACAGGTGCATGTGGGCAAATTTTCAGTTGGCGGCGATTTCTTCTTTGACTTAAAAGTTCCCGCTAAACCTTTTAACGATAATAGGTAACAAGATTGCGAATCATCGAATTCAGTGGCATTGGTTGATTCAGGGCTATCTGGTATCTTTGCTATATCACTTCCTGGTAAGATTTCAATTTTCTCGCGTTCTCTATAGGCTTTCGACGTTCCTCCACTACTATACGGATCAGAATCATATATTATATTTTTACGATCTTTGCTGCCACAGCTACTTGAATAGGGTTTAAGATCTATCGGCACTTTTGAAAAACTTATATTTTCAATAAGCGGTATGTCAATTGTCCCAAGCTGACCTCTAAAAAACTTGTCCGAATCTGAAGTACTATTATAGTTAACAGGCAACCAAGGATCGATCAGAGTTTCATTGCGATTTTTATCTTCTTCTAGATTTCTTACCTCATTGCCGATAAACATTGGCCTCTTGTTACCTTCAGATACAGGTATTTCCGGACTTTGTTCATTTTTCAGAACATTTAAATCATTATAAGTCTGCTCATTATTTTCCTTGGTGAATATAGTTGTTATTTTATCTAGTACATCTTTTAAGTACATTTGTCCAGAGTCAAGGTTGTTCTTTTCATTGATATTGTCGACTAAAAACTCTCCAGTGGTAACGCATCTAGACACTTTCTTTTGTACACTTTCAGTTTCAACATCGCATATAGGTGAAACGACCTTTGAGTCATCTTGTGACGAACAGGTGTCAGTAATACTATGACTGCTATGAAGCAAATCTAAATATACACTTAAGAATTCTTTGGCGACTGTAGCAGGAATAGCCGTTTCACTAATGAGGTGACTAATTGTATCTTGTATTTTGGTCAACTCGTTTGAAGAGTTAGAATCATCGCACTGAGGGCTTACATTCGGCTTGTTAATCTCGCTTTTATGAGACAATTTATCAATATTGTCTATGAGTCTCTTAGTTATTTTTATATCCTTCTCTTTACTGCGACTATTGCGAACTGTTTCACAGATGTACACAGTATTTTTCAATATTCTTTCGAGTTTTTGTATCTGTCGTTCCTTATCGTTATGACTAAACTTCGTTAGTTCTTTGGGTTTTTTAGATTTTTTATGTTCATCATCATTAGGAATATTAGCAGCTTTCTCTCTTTGTTTCATACCATAAAATTGTGTTTCTTTTGTAACACTTTCTATTTGATAACTTGAAATTTTTTCATCTTTGGTGAAATATTTATTAGACTGCCGATCTATTGACTTCACTTGCATTATTTCATCTCTGATACTCCCGATTGTCGTGTTTTTAAGCCAAAACTCTAGTAGGCAACGAAATAAAATTTTAATAGGGTGAACGTCTGTAGGAGCTAGTTTCATTGTGTAAAGCTCTTTTACAATTTGACCTATATAGCTTTTTATACTATCATCGTATATATTAAACATATGGCTATTTTGCACAGTTTCAATAACGGAAGTCATTAGCCGTTCCGTTATAAAATCGTATTCGTAAGCAGTCATTGCATCTTGAAAAGATTTACTTTGCTTGTCCACATCAATTTGAACTTCAACATTTTTTGTTAATTTAGTATTATTGGTATCTCTGGAGTGAAGATTTGCTAGCAAAATACATTTGTTCAGGCGCTTTTTAAGTTTAGGCTCTTCATACATATTTTTATACTTGACTAAATTAGTCGATTTGTTGCTCTTCCGCATAGGTGATTCTATACATTTTTCTTTGGGTTTAAAGAAGAAGAATGCTGGAGTTCTACTGCTATCCTCTTCAGAATTTTGCTTTAGAAAATTGTATGGACGATCAAACGGTATCTTTGTTGGCGAGTTCAACGAGTATTTACATAATAGGGAAGATTGCAATCTAAGCGATGTTGGATTAAAATCGCTACATTCAAGTTTTTCACCATCCGTCTCAGAAGGTGAAACTGACTTTCCGTATTCTTTACATTTAGCGACACAATTCATAGAACATAGACTTTTGTGTTGCTTGTCACCGATTTTTTTTATATTATTTGTTTGATAGGATTTCGGTATAGGAATCACTTTTGTTTTGAATATTGGACTTGGTATAGAGACGGGGAAAACAGTAGTTAGGAAAGGACTATTTCTTGATGATGTGCAGATTGATGACTTTTCAATGCTCGAAGGAGTCATACCTTTGGTGAGAAATATTTTTAAGAATAGGAAATGAGATTTATCTATCAATTATAGTAAAAAAATATAGACTATTGTAGTAACGGAATCTATAAGTATCTATTAAGAGACGAACACTCTTTAAATAAAATCGGTTTTGAGTTTTTATTTTATAATAGGCCCCGGTGACAACCCATGTTTGTGATTTTTAACAATTGCTGTTTCGAATTGGTACGACTTTCACCAAGAATCGAACGCGACTATGTTCATAAACCGATTAGAACTCACCAACAAACCTACCAAAAACCGGTATCCATTGACAACAAATATGAATAGTTAGCCTGTTATTTATATTAAATTGTATAGACTTACGTGACGAGGTATCTGTCGGAGGTAGGTCATCTATTGGCGCATGTATCTTTGGTACCGACTCCCGCGCACCGAAAGTTAATAAGTGCTGTCTGTATAATCTGAAAATGTTATTATTATATTAAAACACCTTTACCCATTATGTCATAGATAGCTACCACATAGAAACAACCAGACTTTTTTTTAAATAAAGGACTGGACAGAAGTTTGGCCACAATTCCACCTGTTGTTAAGTGAGATGCGGCCTATTAAAGAGCACGCTTGTCCAGGAAATGCCAATTTAACCGCCGCTTGAATGAACCCACATTAAACTGTTTAAGGAAGCCAGGAGCTTTGCTGTTTTACAAGAAACAACGATCCAAAACGTGCAATGCGGCCTCCTGAGGACCTCAACAACGAATGGGTGAAACTCAAGCCTGCTAGATAAGCGTTGCTTGGAAGAGGATGAAGGAATCAGGTTGTATAGTTCCATGGACCATTTTTCGACAGTCCTTTGAGAAAGCCTTGGATTAAAACATACCCCAATACATGTAATACGTCTAAAGAGATTCAGATTAATTATTAGACTATATTTTGACTTAATAAGCAAACATACAAATAGTAAAATATAAGTATAATTTTTATCAACACACTAAGAGCAAAAATTCAGTCACTTAAATGAACGGCCTAATCACTATCCAGCGATGAGATTAGGCGGAGTAACTTTCGGATGGCAACGCAGAATGTCATTGAATTTCTTAGGTTAGTATGATTTACTGTCTTGACTCTTGATACTTCATGCAATTACTCATTTTAATTTCTATTATATATTTTTTCCGAATAGTTAACAGGTATAATAGCCTAAACTTTGTTTTATTTGATAGAATATTTAGTTTTTTTCGCAGGATTTGATTATTCCGAATAAAGTTGTGTTTTATAATAAATATAGTTTTAGTTTTCCATGCAATGCTAGTCATTTTAAGTATCAATAGTGAAAGACTAAATACGTATAGTATTTAATTTCATAGAAATGCAGTTACTATCAATGTAAAAAATAATAAAATAAAATCAAGTATCAAGTAAGTTTAATCCACAAAATATATCAAACTTTTAGGGATACCAGACTAATTTTTTTTTTATTTGCCGCGCTTTTTCGTTATCTTCTTTCATTAGTCAGACTCTAGTAAGTAAAACAATAAATTAAATATGTATTTCCGAATATTCCTGGAGCTTCCTATAAACAAATATTAGATAAAATAGTAAGTAATAATTATTGCCCATCAAACTATTGTACTTTTAATTGGGAGAAGAGGTAATGTAACAGTAAATATTTAATCAGTTATTTTGAAAAGTTATCAAAACTTAATGTAAATAAAGTTGTCTTATTTGCTTTTCCTATGGAAAAGGTATGTCACAGACCGAAAACAATTAGGTACAGATGCAATAATAAAATTCATACAATGAACTGTATAATAAACAATTTGAATTTATTGACACTAATGTATATCAGATATAATTACTTTTTGACAAAAGATAACTATTATCTTTGTAATATTATATTGACAAGTAGCAAATTCTATCATATTGTATTTTGAACAAGCAAATGTTTGCTAACAATTTTATTGAGAGATAAATAATAGTACCTTTTCTCAAGATACCTTGGAATTTGTTCCAAGTAATTATTTAAATTAGATTTTAAGAAAAAGAGGTGATCTCTGGCAATAGTTCTAGTCATAGTTGTTTATTAGAGATCCATCAAATTTAAATGTCAATAATAAAATAAATAATAAGATATTTTAAATTTAGTACATCAGAATATTCAGGGTTTGATGGGTAAAGAATTGGAGTTAGAGTTGTTCATGAACTGTAATAACATTGATATCTATGTATTACTGAACATTGGTTAAAGGACCACCAGTTCATGTTTAGCTTCAACAATATCTGGTAGCCAGCTCGTTCAGCAGAGTTAATTTAATACGTGGAGGCTCTTTAATTATTGCTCGAATAATCTTAAATTTAAAGAACGTACCGACATAGTGAGCCTGTCTGTTGAGCGAGTTGCTGAGATAGCATGTATTGAGCTTGAGCAGTTCAGTATTGATGTATACAGGCCCCTAGTACTTTATAGATACTTTTGAAAAAATCTAGAAGATGTATTAATAAAAATATCTAATATAATAAAAAGTTGCCGTCTGTGGAGACTTTAATATTAATTATTAGATAAATCTAGTATTGTTAATAGATTTTTAATCTTATTGAAATATATAATTTATATAATATTTTCCTTGAGCAACTAGAATAACTGCCACCAGTGCCACTTGTATTGACAATGTTTTTACAAATTGAAGAACTTTCTATTCAATTATTAATCTGTTAGATTCAGATACTGTGGCCAGTTGGTTTCATTTACTAAAGACATTTTAAAGAAATGAAAAATTTAATTTTGTTCCAGTAACCAGTTATCGTTTAGAACTTTTAAAAATAATTTAAATGAAAAACTGCCTGGTTTGCCTACAATAATAAAGTTATCTTATTATTAAATGATTAATTTCATTTAAGAAGGTTTTTTTAGATAGTTTCTTTAGTGATCGAGTTTTGTTATGATGGAAAGGTATTTAAAAGAGAAAAGATTATTGAATTATATAATAAAGGAACATATAGTAAAGGTAGGAGTATTTAAAATTATTAAGACTTTTAAAGAGCCTGCTGCCCAAAATTTTAAATTAAAAAAATAATCTTCTAAAAAAATTAAAATATGGAATATTATTAATTCTAAATAGGAAGAACCAAGTTAAGAATAATATTTTATTAAAATTAATATATAATTTAGGGCGGATTTGGAGGTGGAACCGAGTTTGAATTTTTTCATAATATTTTATTAAAATAAACTTTGTCGTCTTCTATAAAATATATTAAAGACTGTGTCGAGAATTGAGAAAGTTTTGAATTTAAGTTGTTATTAAGGAATTCTAGATATTTAAAGATTTGAAGTAAAAAGTACGATCTTTGGGGTTGTCAGTTAAATAATTTAATAATTGAATTATTTCCCATTTCTGGAATTGTGTTCAACTCTTTGTCATTGGTGTGTTTCGGACTAATAAGTAAGCAAGTGATTCCACTCTTAAATTGGTAGTAAAATCTAAATTTTCCCTATTCAATTGCCTAACTGAGCAAAATTTTTGAGAAAAATAATTTTAAAGAATTAAAGATTTTAAAGAAGAATTTTTTATCAAAAATTTGGATTTATAAGGTCGTTACTAGATCAGGTGTGGAATATAAAAATGTATTCGAGGTTGGGAGAATTCACAGGATTTTAGGATATTTGACTTGTAAATTTTGATTGTTTATAAATTATAAAAATAAATATATTAGAAATAAGGTCTTAGATTCTCAGTTCATATTAGAAATAGAATACAAAGTGTAGATATTAATGGCAAAAATCAAAAGGATCTGTGGTAATATGGGTGTTCCCAGGGTTCAATTCTAGGTCTTTTTATTCTTATCTATATCAATGATTTACTTTTTTTAAGGGATGATCACAAAATCTATTATTTGCGGATGACACTTCGCTTGTTTTTAAAGTTAAGGTCAATGAAAATTTTGACAAGTTAATTTGGATATCTAAGGTTGTCCATTGGTTTAATTTAATAATCTCTTTTGAATCAAGTAAAATAAATTAATAAAATTTTCTACCTAATTGAGAAGTTAAACCAATTAAATGAATGGAGTAGAGTTGGAACTGTTGAGTCAATGTTTTTCTTGGCATTATGTTGACGCTAAATACAGTGGGGCCCACAATTAAAAATTGTCTGGAAGGTCAGTTCAGCTGTTATGTTAAGGAAAATTAGACAAATTATGATGTGGATACAGCCAGAATTGTTTATTTCAGTTATTTTCATATTGATGAGTAGGATTCTCCTTTGGGGAAACTGTCGGATATTAATAAATCTTCTTATTAAAAAAAGAGTGTCCGCGCTATATATAATTAGGTCCTAAGTTTCTCTCAGAGAAATTAAAGAGATAAAATTTGACTGTAATTAAATATATTTTGAAAATTTATTTATGTTCACAAAAACAACGGATTTTGTCAAATTGTCTGATCTTCACTCCCGAAATATAGGAAAAAAATAATTTAACAGTTCATGTATCCTTATAGAATAAAATCGTTCATGGTCAATATACGCTTTTAAATAAATTTATGGATGTTCTAAATTCCTTAAGAAATTTAAATTTTTATTAAATAAAATTATTAAAAAGGATATTACAGGATATCCGATTATTTAAATATAGAAACTGGGATTGAGCTGCTCCTTATACAGTATCGCTTGTTTTTTTTAAGTGTCTTTCATTCTTTTTTTTTTTTTTGATGTTGTACTATTTAAATCTGAATGTCTTGTGCTTTGCATATGCATTTTATTTTATTCTATTGAATGTTTTGTTAGTGCATATTCATTTTTTTACATTTTTTTCTTAATTATGAATGTTTTGTGCTTAGTGCATATTCATTTTTCTTTTTTAAATATGACATGTTTTGTGTTTTGCATAAATATTTTAATTTGAATGCAAGTGAATAATGTTTATATTAGATTATATTTTTCAATTTAATTATTTTTCCTGTTTAAGGTACATTAAATATAATTTTGTATCCATTGTAAGTGTAAACATTATGGGGTATATATAAATCTTTTGCTTGATTTATAATTTGATACATTTTAGTCTATAGTTATTTTGGGCTGGCGATCTGAGTGAGTTGTTGCCCCACATATCTTTATGGTGCCTCTGGCGGTATGTTTGTAGGGTTGTGCAGTCCTCAAAAATGGTTGAGTGATGAGCTATTCGGGGATGCTAGCCGTCTGCTGGCGCAGGCTTGCTCAGATCGATCTGGTTCTTTCTTCAAAGACAGTCCAGTAAATTATCTGATTTGTTTAACAACTTATTAATTTATTATTGTATTATTGGATATAAAAGAGATAAGACCCGAGTTTGTTTCGAATTTCTTCTCAGGGAGTCATTAGGAAATGTCGACTTCATTAGTTTAGGAAGAATTGTAAAAGTGATTTATATAGTCTATTGAAGAATAAACTATTTCATTCATTTATTCATTTCATTTCATTGTTACAGTCTATATAGGTATATTATATATATATAAGTTTTTACTTTTTTATTATGATCTAAACAAAAACAATAAGCTTTATTACTCACCGATGCGTCTTCAAAACATTCAACCATGTCCTGAAAACTTCAGGTGTCTTCGCTCTTAAATGGTATATGAATTCATCTGCATCTATATCGATGCGCCGGCGCCGCGCTTTAGCCGATATCACAGACAGACCGACATCCACAGACCCGTGGAGCCTTCCTCGCGCCACGTCAGAAGGTGATCGAGCATAGACTAGAATACCACCGTCTACTACGAAGAATCTCTGGAATCAGATTTAAAAAAATTGTACCGGCTTTAACAAGCAAGGGTGGACGAAAATTTTAAGGTCTTAAGGTAAGATTTAGAGTCAAGACTAAGCGCTAAGTATAACTTCGGTATGTCAAAAACGTATTAAACTCAAAATATCTTTATTCATATAGGTAAACAAGTACACTTATGAACGTCAAAAAAGAGTTTAATTAATTGTAAATTTACATTTTCTACCAGTTCGCAAGTCAAGGGCGTAGAGCGGGCAAGAAGAACTGGCAAGAAACTTTCCGCCACTCTTTTTAATCGCCAAGTTTTGAGTCATACAAATTGTTTGAACTGGAGCAAATCAATCCCAAGGATTAGGATCATTTAACTATTCATCATTTATCAAAAGCTTTATTGATTAATTTAAGTTTAACGAGGGCTTTGAATTTATTTAGTGAAAATTCTCTAATTTCACATTCTAATTTCTTTTAAATTAGATTTAGATTTCTAAGACTCCCTTCAAAATTTAAACCATTCCTCAGTGTCGTAAGAAGATTTACATTTCTTAAAAAAGAAAATGCTAATTATCAAAATTACTTCTTTTTTTTGGACGACCATAAAAACATTGATACTTATTAATTAGCATATTGCCTGTTTATTGATTGATTTGTATAGTTGATGTTAATGATTTGTTAAATTTTTGAATTTATACACAAAGCACATGAATTTGTGGCGAACAAGAATAACATTCCTCTTTTCCACCGCATCGGTGATATTACCGTTGTGTGACGGCACGGGCGCGGTGGGCGGAGCCTGCAGCTAGGCTCAGTGCGAGCAGCGCACAGCCTTGCGATTCTGTAACTCACTTTTCACACGATTTAAACAATAAACTACAAGCTCCCTCCTTATCGGAATGCCAAATCGTAAAATGACTGCTTTACGACTGATTTGAGCGCGACCGCCGTTGTGAAAACCGCTGTGAGAGTTTGAAAAGTGAGTTACAGAATCGCAATCCTGATGCTATCCTGATGCCTAGCCTAAAAACTTTATTTTTATTATATAGCGTTCGCCTCACGTGAACCTATAAATTAAACATTTCTACCTTGCCTGCTCTGTTCAGCTATCTCATACATACATTAAAAAATAATTATCTTAAATTATATTTGTTACCTTATGCCAACCCTTGAGCGGCCACTTCCGCTTCTTATGCAGGTACCCGTTGAACACTTCCGGTCTCTTGTCAAACCTCTGTCCATCCTTTAGTCCCTCCAGTACCTCCCATTCGCTGCCACGGCGACGTCTAGAAAGTTTTAAATAATGATTTTAACTTTATATAACGTATACTACTGGTCAATTTGTTGATGTTGAGGCCAGAAATCACAATGTTGAAATTGAATATTTATTACGATTTTAGATTTATTTACTATTCTCTTGTATAACCAAATTTTAAAGCATAAATCAACACATGTACAAGGGCGTCGCCAGAGGGTAGGCAGAGGCAGCTGATAGAGAATAGAAAAATACCTATTATAATAATTAATTTGTCTAAACATTCTTGCCTAATATATCATATTATTTTTTTATTTCTTGTACCACTTTGGAATTTTTTCACTTGCACTTTTGCACTTTATACAACTAATATTTTTTCCATCATCTGTACCTACGTCTACTTTTTTCAGACCTAAACTATCGAAATTGAATGCTTTAATGTAACAGTAAAATTTTGTGTTGACCCCTATGTGATAATGATATTTAAATAAACGAGAATTTCTAACTGTGAATTTTAATTTGGAATTGAATTATTAAAACACCTAAGTTTTAATATCCATAGACATAGACCTTGAAACGGAACGTGACTGCGTCTGTGGTTTAATGTGTCACGATATTTAAAAACGTACCACAATATAAAAGTCGCGAATAATTCCACTTACCACGATTTTTTTATAGTACAGGGCAAACCAGGGCTCATCTGATGTTAAGAGAAACTGTCGCCCATGGACACTCGCACTGCCAGAAGGCTCGCAAGTGCACTGCCGGCCTTTTAAGAATTAATACGCTCTTTTATCTTAAGTCGAATTGGTTCGAAAATACTTCAGTGGGCAGCTGGTTCCACATAGTGGTGGTTCAAGGCTAACATTGCTTTAAAAGCGCTCAGTTGTACAACGTGACAGTGACGTCCACTTCCTTTTTGATAGCCGCTCATTTTTGGACTAAAAGATCTGGCATCCGTTGTACACTACATAAATAAATACATAATATAATAAATGAGTTATTATTCGTAATACATTTAATTCGTGAGGTATTATTTTCTTATGAAAATCAGGTACCCGATTAAATAGTTAATTAAATATATTATATACTATAATAATTATAATTACAACTATTAGGGTAAAAGCCGGATAGTTGCCTCGGACGGATACATGCCCCGGTGTTAGGATGCTATGTTAGGATTATAAGTTGTATTGGCGCTTTACTACAATAAGTAGTGACTGCCCCTCAGGCCTAAATGCCACGTAAGCCATCGGAATAGGCCCAAGTGTTTTGTCCGTGTGAGCAAAAATCTTCCGCGGCGAAACTTTGACGGGCGTTATAATTATATTGGTAAGTAATTTCTATTGAATATTTTTATTACTGATCGTGGTTTCAGTCCACTTTTTGTTTCTTTGCATGCATTAGAGTTTAAATTACACTGTTTGTCATGTTTTATTGCTAAATAATTTTTATTTATTTCGCAAATAAAAAGGGCAAGTATCCGCATCAAAAAGGATAGTTGCCCTACTTACTGTCGCGGATAGTTGCCCCTAGAGTGACTAAAAATTTCTTAACAAGCAAAGACGGATTTTATTTTTTTGCTGTGTTTTTTAATGTTTATTCGAATTTACTTTGTCTCTATCTTGTTGTAAATTAAATAAATATCTACTTCACAGTTTTATATATTTATTATAGATAAGCAAAAGCCTCATCAACATCAACTGGACAGAAGATAGCTTAGCACTTGCCTTCGAAAAATTGAGACAAAGTTGGGATTAAAGCACAACTTTATTAATGAGAGTAAAATGGCTGGACATCAATGGCTAAAAAGCTTTCTTGAAAGAAATCCTGATATAACTTTGAGAAAAGCTGAGGGTTTATCAATTGAAAGAGCGTAGGGTCTCAACAGAACAGAAGTTGCAAATTTTTTCAAACTCTTAACAACTATTTTAACTGAGAATAATTTGCTGGATAAGTCAGATAAAACATTTAACATGGATGAAAGCGGTGTCCAACTCAATAATAAAATTGGTAAAGTATTAGGTAAGAAAGAGGAGAAAAAATTACTGTTGTTTCTTAATATTTCAAATTGTACTAAATAAAAGATCTCAGTAAATTATAAAGACTGTTAAATAAATAATAAAGATTACTCTATTTGATATAAATTTCTTTCTATCCAAAATAAAAACGCACGAGGCAAGTATCCCCCGAAGCATTTTCTACGCTAGGCTACTATCCGCCATAGTAGGCAACTATCCCTTTTCTGAGAGGTGAAATAAAACGGTATTTATTCAAAACCATTGTTAATTATGTAGACAAAAATAGGCTTTTATAGAAGATAAAAGACCTATGTTGCGAGATACATACTGAATAATATTCAGCAAGTTCATATTTAAAAAATATAAAGCTTTTTCGAAAAGTGGGGCAACTATCCGGCTTTTCCCCTATATTATACTATAATAATTTAATAGTTGTTTAAATTTCTTACACTTACCCTCTGGACTTGCCAGTCCTTGGTGGAGGTGGCAAAGGCCTGACCGACCTCTCCCCGCTATCCGCAGATAGGGAAGCCGTCTCTCCGGAACAATCAGAGTCTGACGGAGCCCTTCGTAACGCGGCTGCTCGGCCTGCCGCGCCACGACGTCGTTCGCCTGTAATGTATATGTTACCGTAAAATTGTAAACACCGTTATATTGTAATCTATCTCGCGAGATTGTGAACTGTCGAAAGGTTGTGAACTCAACGTACTGCTTACAATTTAACGTATTATTCGGTAGATTGTAATTTTACATTTACTGGCAGTCCTCAAACCAAGGACGTAGAACGCAAGAGAAGAACTAGCAATAAACTCTCCGCCACTATTTTTAATCGCCAAGTTTTTTGTTTAACACAACGTTTGTAAGGAGCTGCAATCATAACACTATGTTCCACATGACATCTTAAGTAATAAATAATAATAAAATAAATTAAAAACAAAGATTTGTCCTCTATCAGCAGGAGGCATGGTGAAATAGGAGCACGCACTTACATCCTCGTGGGAACAACACGCAAACACATTGTCGAAATAACTAACATCACCGCATACACGAATTCAAAAAAATTCAAGTACGACCAATCACCACAAGTAGCACTCATTCACGAGTATGACGCATGGCCAGCCATCGGCCCCTCGCCATATTTTAGGGAGAGAGACAACCCGACGCAGTACATATTGGATTCGAGGGTATGCAGTTTCAGATTTGCCAACATAAGATAACATTTAATAACTGCTAGGAATTGTGGAAAACGGGAATCAAACATTTGTTACAAGAACTATCTAGATCCACTAATTAAAACAGGAACCTTCGTAGAAATGATCAAGACAGGATCGTGGAGATATGTTTTATGAAAGTTGGTGATCAGCGTTCTTTACACATGCCACAATGTATTCTTTCACCGTAGTGGTATTAATTGTGTACACTAAAAGATACCATTGGTGATGGTACACGACCGGGTGTAATGTAAAACAAAAGACGAAAGTTTGACTGTCACAAACGAACGTCTTATCACGTTTTAGACTAAAGACGGATCATTCGTTCCACCTTTCATTGTTAAACCCGAAAAATTATCTCTATATATAAAAAAACGTGAAAAAACAATTAGCATCATCATACAATGTTTCCAGTCCCTTTCAAATAACATTACTTCAACTACGTTAAAGTTCTCGTTAATTATGCAAAATACGTTCCGCTATTGTTACTACTAAACATTATACATGGCTATTTGGCTACTGTCAAGGACGTATATTTATATGCATTCTACGATATATTTAGTAAATGAGGAAACACTTGTTTTTAAAACGTGAGCTCAGTAAATACAAATCAAGTTTCAATTAGCCGACTCATCTGTATAAAAGAAATCAATGGAATCTTATAGGAAAAGCAGTATCAACTTTTCGCTAATATATGGGAAATATGTACACGGGTGAAGTAAATTTTGAAGTAAGTTGACTTCATGAATGTCTTCAGATGTGATACTTCAAGTGTCTATAGAAAGTGTAGTAAACAGTACAAGTTACAATAAAGACGTCCGTTCGTCTGATCATAACCAAACGGTTTCGCCCTTAAAAAAAATGTTTATTATGGAATATAAGATACCGGTATCACTTATTCCACGACATTAAATTGTTACGGTAAAAACCTAGTGTAGAGAATAAGGTGCAAGGGCGGTATCTCGGACACACGAACATAGTGTCTTTAACAACAATTACTTTAGTTTAAGCTATTTATTAGTATTGTAGAAAATTAAGTCAACATAATATTACTTATTAACCGTAATAATTGTATAGACTAGATTGTAATTCATGTAATGTCGCACTCTTTTTTGGGAACTTTAAAATTAAAAAAAGATGTTACGGTAGACAACCCTACTCGTCGGCAAAGAAGACAGAGGGTGTAGGCCGACTTCGTCTGTGGCAATACGCTCTACGCTACGTGAAGCTATTTATAAAATAAAAAAGAGGGTGTAGGCCGAGAGAAAAAGCCGGCGTAGAAAACTCTCGGTACTCATTTAAAATATCAAATCATCGTACAAAATGACTATTTCAACACTTATTTTAAAACAAATACCTTAGTATTTTTACTCCCCAGAATAGTATCTCCGTCCTCCCTTCCCTAATACTAATACTCACGTTTGCTTTCAAGTCTCGTCGGCTCTGTGGCGACATGCTTGACCCCAGTCGGATTTGACATCTTGTTGTTACAGTTGCCCACGAACCATCTTAACGCTGAAACATATAAGTACAATTGGGACATTATTGTGAATATGCATTTTATAATTACATTATTGGGAAAAATTTCCGAGACAAATTTTCTTAGGAATTAGAATTTTATAGGACAGGTTAAAATAAAATAAAATATGTTTATTATGGAACATAAGATACATGTATCACTTATTCCACGTTTCCAAATTTGAATTTGTAGGCATCCCTACTCATCGGCAAAGAAGACAGAGGGTGTAGGCCGAGAGAAAAAGCCGGCGTAAAAAACTCTCGGTACTCTTTTAAAAAGACCTGATGCCTTCGGATTATTTTAGTTGTTTGAATTCAATTGTTTCATTACTTATTTTATTTTGTTTGTGTTTTGCCCGGAAACTGTTCTTATAGCTTTACTTAAACAGCTGTTTAACGTTGATCAACTCCATGTTTCAAACAGTCCACAGAGGGTAAGGATGTTTGATTTGAATGTGCAAACCATAGATAAGTTATACAGATCCTCATAGTCTACACATTCCTAGAAAATGAGTTTAAATTTAATTTAAAAATTAAAATTTATTCTGTAGTTTATACTAAAAGAACCTTCATAATGTAAGAATACAGAGCATTTGTAATCACCGGATGAGTATGATAAAAAAAAACTATTTAGGTCACGAAGACGAGTGTACAATGTTTGTGACAAGAAAACATCAAGTGCACAAAGAAATGTTTTGCAATTCATATCAAGTATTCTATTCGAGTATCAGTTACGGTAATAAGCAATGCAGTTACAGAAAATGGTAATTTAGTTTTTTTATATCTTTTCTTTAATTATTACCCCGATATTGTCACCGGAATTATTAAGTAACGTATTACATGAGAAATATAATAATATTTTTCTATACAGTCAAAATATTAATGGTAGAAAAATAAATAATTTCGATTGATGTTCCTAATTTTTGCTCTTTCTACAAACTTTATTGTAAGGAGTCTTTTAAACCAAGACATTTTTTAAATAAGTCTAATGTGAATAGCAAATAACCTATAGAATATATAGCAGAATTTTTACAATTAAGAGACTTCTTTTTTAACATACTTCTTCAGGTTAATAATTTGTAAAAATATGAAAATCTATTAAAAAACTGAGTATTAAACCCAAAAATTTATAACATTATCTTTCATATAAAACTTTAAATATTATACATATTTAGTTCTTTGCCCAGTGACCTACTCTAACGATAGCCAAATTCTCAAATACTTTAAATATCACGAACTCAAAGACGCATAGAAAAAATAATAGATCGAAACAGCTGATACACACTGAGCCAAATTATGCCGACGCTGACGGAAGTTGTGTTTATAACAATTTTATTTTCACGACAGAATACAGCTTATTATGCTCCAATTAATGGTAATTATAGGTGGACGTAATAACTAGCTTTATTACTTCTAGCAAGATCGAATTTTTGCAGCGTAGTTAGTAAAAATTGTTACGGAAACTTTTAAAATTATTTTATTATATTTGCGATATTTTGCGAATACCATAGACTGCAAGAAGCCCATACTCAACCAACTAAAGGTAAACACAAGACTGTCAACTATCATTTACAAACGGGTGCTTAGCTATTTTGGCCGTAGAGCTTCTAAAAGAGAACCGAATAGTCTCGACTAACTGGTAATGGTAGAGAGGAGTGGTGGCAGGAGAAGTCGGAGTCTAGTTCTACCCGTTGCTACTACTAATGCCACGACAAGCTGTGGATGTGGTGTGGACGCAGCGAGTCGACGTATCGATTAGGGCTTTTCGAGACAAGCACGACCTTCAGTAATGAAGACTACGAAAAAGAAGATATTAATTAAAATTAAATTATTTACAAAAACTTGAATCCCACCACTGATTAAATAGGAGGAATATAGGAGGAGATACGTTTCTGTTCCACTACTGTATGATAGTAAAGCGTATGTAATGGAAACAAATTAAAGATAACGAAAAATTGCCAATTCTAGTTGTAAAGTTTATTTGAATCAATTTAGCTGTGTTGCTGTGTGGCAATTGGTTAATCGTTTTACTAGATCACATGTCGTGAAGTCCATGTTAACTATTGGTTCATACAGAAAAAAAATAGTTTAACCCTTTAAGCAATGAAAACGTAACAGACTTTCATTCTCATAAGTTGCCTTTAACTGCTTTTACCTATTTTTACGAGACAATATATTATGTCTATCTACTTATAAAAATCTACTAAGCGGAGTTCGATTAATTATAAATATCAATAACCACATAGGTATTGTTTGCCCTGACAATGAACAGAGGCGATTCTAATGCCAGTGGCGCTACAACCTTTTTAGGGTTGGGCCTTAGATTTCTGTATATCTGTTCATCAACTCTAATAGACAAGTAGGTGATCAGGAATCTGTGCCTGACACAGCGACGTCATTGAGTCTAACATGACCTCACGATATTTTCCTTCACCATACGAATGAGTGTTAAATGGGCACATATACAGAAAGTCCATTAGTGCACAGTCGGAGGTGAGGGTCGCACTCTCAAGCCAATATGCCAACACTGCTTTGATACCTCACTGTGTAAAATAAAAGAACGGAGACGCGATATCAAAAATTTAATGGAAAACTTTAAGTTAAGTACCTACAAACATTTACCACGTTCGCTTTTAAATGCATGGCAAATATTTGTTGGCAACAACAACTTATACACAGTACGTATTCCTATCGACAAAACTATTGAAGATTTGGTGCCAACGATATCATTCGTTTCTATAGAAAAAACTACGGGTTCATATGTATCTCTAACTTCCGATCTTCCAACGACGTTTTTCTATACATTTCGATATAGTTTTTTCCAATACAAAGGTGAAAATTGAATTCAAGATCGCAGTTCTATCAGTATTGGGAGTTTCAGAGAACTGGTTCATCAGACCAAGTGGTGGTTCGGATCTCAAAGGAGACACCCTTGTACCGGTATCGGCCCAAGCTATATTGCATTAGAGCGAGATATTAAAAAATGGGGCGTAAGTCACTTAATATTTTTTCACGAGAGTTCCGGACTCGTGGCGATAATAACGAGGAATTTTATACATATTACTAGCTGACCGGGCAAACGTTGTTTTGCCAAGTACATATATTATTTCTAGGATAATTTTTTTAAGTTCAATAAAAATAACTAACTACTATAATTAAAAATAGGAGTTGACCGTAGAGGGGTGCAAATTAAGGGTTGGATGTATTTTTTAATGCCCCATAATTAAAACATTTTTTATCCAAAAACTAAAAATAAATTTGTGGGGTGGCAACCCCTTATCACTTAGGGGTTAGGGGGGATAGTAGCCGATTCTCAGACTTACTGAATATGCATAAAAAATTTATAAGAATCGGTCAAGCCGTTTCGGCGGAGTGTGGGAACGAACATTGTGACACGAAAATTATATATATTAGAATAATAAATAAATTTTACACACATACCATTTAGAAGAGACAAAGGGTCTTTCATCTTCATTATTTTTTCTATTAAAACTTATTCACCTTTCCACGTAAAAACTATAAATGTTTATCACTTCCGTTGTCAGATAAAATTAATATTTTATTGGCTGTATATTATTAAAAATACGTTTATTTAACGCACCATAGTGAAAGGACTGACGTGTTGAATAATCTCGATACAATAAAGCCAAAATTGATAACTTTATCGAAACAAGCAATATCAGTGATGTTATTAGAAATCGGAATTAAATCTTTAACGATTGTTTACTAAGAACATAATCTATTTTTTTTAATATATCAGTATTTGTATATAATAAAATTAGTACGTAAAGATAGATGAGGTTTTATCAAATAAGGAAATATATATAAATAATAAATCTACATTTTTTTAAATTACTTTTAACGAAGTGCAAATTTATATTTCTCAAAAAAAGTCATTAAATTAAATTGAAGACGGATAAAATATTATGATTTAGACTAAATTCGGCTTAGACTTTAGAGGCACTATACCTTTATAATTATAGTATGTTATTAGGCAATTTATTAAATGTTTTTGGCCCAATTCATAAATGTACTCTGAGCTATTGAATATTTCCGTAACAGTCTCGCGGCACGTATAGTAAATAATAGACACAAATTGTAAAATCTGCGTGCATGGCCTTGTGAATTGTTTTTTCGCGTCATTCGCGGGGGCTCTGAGAGCTATAACATAAGATTAGAATTAATGTTAAGATATATTAAGTAGGTGATTAACTAAGTTTACTTTTTCCTCCTTTGTATAAAAAAATATTAGTCCTATTGCACCGTTTTAACACTCATCTACTCATAAGTCATCTATCTCTTGCCATCACGGCCATAACACAATTGGACCGAAAAGGATAAAATATAAACCGCCTTCGTTTATCTTTGCTAATGCACTAGAAGAGTTCGTTTCTGGATAAAACGGTTAGCGGTAATGCTTCGAAATTCAAATTAAATATAAAATTATGGCTGTTGGATTGTGCATTTATCGATAAAGGAAATGTAACATCAACCACCATTTCTAGGAATTATCTCAGAAATTTACATTGCCAGCTTAAGTTTGTTCAATGATGAAAGGCTATTCCTGGATCTCCTTTGAAGTGTGTCATCTAAAATATGTTTATTTATTTTGTAAATCTTTATTGAATGACGCCGTGATCTAACGTATGATGTCATAAAGCGATGCGGGACCTTCAATTTACGATTAATATACGTTGAAGGCTTGTACCATAAAGACGAAGCTAATTTATTTAAGTAAATCGTTACAAATACTGGGAGTAAATGCTACGGGCCGTAGATTCTTATTCTATGAATAGTTTATTAAAGGCATTCTTTTTCATGAAACAATTTCAGGTATAACGGTTAATTCATACAATAAATTAGAACATGTATCAGTGTAAAGGGTTCGGGAGCAATTTTAAACTGACAGCTAATATCCAATAGGATAGATTTGGAGTTTTTGCAAGTATAAAGCAGTTTATTTTCCTTTTGCATGCAGGAGTTATTTGCAGACATAGAAATATGCTGGGATACGAATACAAGGCCAAAGGTGTGAGAGTGGCACACTGAGGCCAACACTGGTCACTGTAAAACAGTAACAAATATATATACTTTTAAAATTGAATAATACCAGAAAATAAAGTGAATGAGCAAATATACAATAATAAAATTGAAAATTATTGTTTAAATGTAACATAGGTTAATGTGATGTTAATTTTATATTTGATTAGCAAAATCAACAATTAGTGTATTTAATTACTTTATGGTGTTAATACAATAAATAATTAATATAATAGAAGTTGTATTTAAGATAATAGAATTAAATACTTGCATTATTATTGCATTTAAATTGGGAGTCAAAGAATCTTTTGTGCACCTGTCAATTAAATGAGGTTGTATGTATTAATTAGTTAAAACTGTTTTTTTAGCACAACCTCAATATTATCAATTTTATATATTTTCAGTGTCTTAATTATTTTTCCATGTAAGTGCAACATAATGTATACAAATTAATTTGCTTAATGGAAAGAAACACCAACGCATTGAAACAACACTTATTCGAATATTTGATTATGAAATAATCCAAGCACATTAACTGTTAGTCACTTGATTATTAAAAACAAATTAAATATTTTTCCTTATTATTTTTGAATGACCTTAATCCTAATATAATTAAGAAATAAAAGTGGTAATAGTAGGAAATTTACTCTTTTGCATTTTATTAAAGCACTTTTCTGAGTATAGTTTGCCATCATTAATTAATTAGAAATTGCAATGATATCTCATTTTCAAAGCTAATTTAATGGAAGTTACAGTGTTTGTTTTATTTATTATGCTATTTCATTACTGACATCTGATAGCTTATCAGATTTTAAATAAAACCAAAACAATGACAATAATAGAAACATAAAATTGTACATTCATTTTTAGGACTAAAAGATTGAAAAATTAAAACATAATTTAAATTATTGTTAATAAACACATAAAACATGACATCATAATTGTAATACAGATGCTAACGAACAGGTAAAATACATAGAATTAGCCAGCAATTGAGAAATAAGAAAAGCCTTCAAAAACCAGTTCTTCGTGGATACATCGCAATTAATTGCTTGTAATAGTAAAACATAAATCGTAGCGAATACAACGAAAAAATGGGTGTATAATTTAATAATTTTGTGTAGCTATAAAAAGCCAAATAAACAATTACGAGACAAGAATTGGCTTTCGCCTTTGAAAACTACAATGTTTAATAACAAAAAAAATGTATAATAATACTTACGTAAGACGCTTTAAATAACAAATCAGATCTTAAATATTACAGACGGAATTGATCTGTAGCGATGTGGGGATTTTCACATAAAATTTACTAAATATTTAATAATACTGCAAATTTAAATAATATCACGGCACCACAGCTATTTGATTATACTAAATTATAACTCATTTTTACGTTAAATTGATTTAATTTCGAAAGAAAAGCGCGAGAATAGAGCACCATGTTGAAGGACTAGGAAAAATTGAAAGGCTGTCAAGGTTTTCCGCACAAATGTCAATTTTACGTCAATGCGACATATGAGTCAAATTGAAAATTATATTAGTTATAACCGCGATAGATGGCGCTGTTATCAAATTCTTTTTCTTTTATAGATGTCGATAGAGAGACAATAGATGTCGCTAACATCTATTGTGATTTAATGATTAAAATAAAAACGTTACGAAATTTTACATTTTTAAAGAGATATAATATTTTATATAACAACGGAAATTATACCATAGCCTTACCTACGTATAAATGGCAGTCTCATTAGAATCATTTATATCACTTATACGTCTCCAAGCTGCAAATTCCTTTTTAATACCAGCCTTTCCTAAATAAAACGGATAACTTTTACTGGTCGACAAAAAAAATATACCATGTTTCTTCACGTCTACGTCTAATCCCATAACATTTGTCACTTGTTTATTTTTATAACATTCAGCATCCCTTGCCTCTTGAATCGTATTGCATTTTATTGCGATAAACTTCTCTGGATTCCGTACAGCGATTGCCCAAAGAGCCAACACTCTGAAGTGGCTGCAAGTAGCCGTACACGGAAATAAATTCAAGTCAGCCGGCTGATATTCTCCACCATTCACATAAAAATCGACATGGCCCATCCTATTTGCCATACCGTAGCCGTCAATATTCGTATGAATAACTTGGACAAAGTCAGCGTTAGTCGATTCCAATCTTTCTGTCGGACCTAGGGTTCTAAAACAGGGACCAGCTGGTTCTAGTGCAGTTATTCGAGAGATATTTCGTCCTGTCAAAAGCTGGAAGTTTGTAGCTATATAGCTGACAGTCTGGCCACCTAGACTGAAACCTAGAAGTTCTAGTTTAGTTGGATCAAGACCGGAGCGAGTGAGGATAGCTAGGATTTCTGCTACGTGTTTGCCGACTGGTCGCATAAGGCGCGTTGCTCTGTGAAAAGATAATTTATAAGGTATTTGCTAATATATAAATGCACATAACGTACACTTATACAGTTTAAATTATAATAAATAAAATATATGCTTACAAAAAGTAATGCACAGTCGCAAATCTCTGATTGTCGATAAGAATAACATTATATCCTCTTCGTATATATTCGTTTGTTAGTATCATGGATATCGGGAAGTTTGTGCTATCCAAGTAACCGATTGCTACTACCAGGGTCTTCCTAAAATGTAAAAACTCTCAATTAGGTTTTTATCTTCACTGATTTTTATACATTAAAAGTAAGAGAAAAAAATAGGAATAAATCACAGCTGAATTTTATCTTTATAGCAAATATTTTATGGCAAATGTGTCACTTAAAACAATTTACTGTGTATGCGGTAATAGCGGTATTAACATTTGTTTACTATTCGCAAAATCTATAGACAAAAATACCACATCAAGTTTTTAATTAATAGTAAATGCTTAACCTACCTTAAATTTATACTGAAGGCAAAGAAAAAAATCATTTCTTATTTAAAGTGAGTTAGTAACAATGTAATGCTTGATACCTTCTAAAATCTATCCTTGGGTCTTTCGCGATATTTTTAGCGGTCCAATAAGTGTACTTCTGCCGGTTGGTTGCACCCTGCACGACGAAGTGGAGGTATTTCAGCTGGCTCCTGGGTATAGTCGCTGGCTTCGTGGAACCAGGACCTGAAATGGAGAAAACAGGGCTATGAAACTTGGAAAATACTGAGAGGAACTGACATTTACACATTTCTCGAAAACTAAAAATCTAACTTTTAGTCATATTCATCAGTTTTTTTGTTCTTTCATCATATTTATACATTATACACACATATATGATAGACTATAGACTTATAAAATATATATAAACCTTTTAGTACCACAAAATAAGTACTAAATACTTCTATTTTGTTGCAAATGTATGTAAACTAGAACACTTTGAAAGACTCTTAATACTGTAATTTGATATAATTAGTGAGGTACTGATTGCAAGTCTCCATTTCCTTCATATTTATATTTAAGTAATGTCCGGGCGTACATATGCATTAACTTTACATAAAAAACTTTTATTCCATTAATCAAAGTTTTCATTTTAATCAAAATGGTTTAAGTATTAAACGGAACGTGATAAATAAATTTTTGGAAACTAATGTCTCAAGTTCCTGAAGCCTGGAGCATCGGGCAGACGTAATATTTCTGAGTTCAGACCTCAGTAATGTTCAGTCTATAGGCTGCTCATGATTGCCTCAAGCAAGTGCTTCCTAAGTTGTCGAGTAATTCGAGCTAGGTACAGATACCGGCAAACTTCTTGAGCATTAAACAAGGGAGTCGTCAACTGATTTACCAGTCACGCGATCGACACGTCACTCTCCCGCCGCCGCACACCACCGCCCCCCCGCACTCTCCCCGGCGCCCCCCCCCCCCCCCCCTCCCAGTTTACCTAAAATCGCTTCCGTCGCATGCACAGGACATTTGTCCATGATGTTTGCCAAGGTATCTGAAAATAATAAAGTTGTGAAAATAATAAATGCCAAGTTAAATATATAACGTGTGACTCTGTAGTCACAAGTTTAGGACATATAAACTGTTTGTTATTAGAAAATATTATAATTAAATGGTTCACAGACCGGTTCTTTCGTAAAATTACGCTAGGTTAACTGACGTATCTGTTTACTCACATAGCTTTTGCTATGTAGACCTCATACTGACGAGGTAGTACCTAGTGGAAATTGTAGCAGTATGTAAGCTCATTGCCGACTCTACATTTTAAATCGATTTTAGTCTTGTGTGGTGCAGAATTAAGAAATTCAAAAGAAGATATTCGTTAGGAAAAGAATTTAGGTTTCTTTCTTTTGCATTGTTCGCAACATTACGTTCTCGTTTTTTGACAAGTTTATCAAACCTAATAAGGCAGCAGGCTTGACTACAAATTAATTGTATTAAAAATTTTGGCATATATTAGTGCGGGGTTTGTTTCAAAAAATCACTTCCTAAAAAAACTTAATTTAAAAAAATATAATTTATTCATTTAGGTATATTTTATGAACGTCATTAAAAAGGTACTCTAAATTTACATTAACTGCCAGTTCTTAAATGAAGCCTGCAACCAATACATAATGCTTCTCATCACATGTTAAAGAAATTAATTATTTAAAAAAATAATTAAAAAATAATGAACAAATAAAAACCTAACCTCTATCTGTCTGTCACTATCACTTCTTTCCGCAAGGTGAGAAATAGGACCATGCTCTTACATTACTGTGGAAACAACAACATTCTATCCATAATTTGAACCTAAGTCTACAAAAAGCTAATTAAAAATCAATCTATAAACTAATGTTCTCTTTACTCGTTTTCCTCCAAATTCGTTTACGTTACTGTATCAATAAGATCAGCAATTTTGTGAAAAAGACGGATTTAATTTTAAAATTCACGGTTAGGAACGTGGTTAGTGATATTGACAAAATAGTTATAAATTTTGTGCTTTGGCTAATAAATATTACTTATCGAGACAGAAACTAACACATACATACTGACATTAATCCACTCGGATATCCCTGCTCTGCTCTCTGGTCGTGACATTTGATATACATAACTACACTTAATACAAGAAATACCCTTGCGCAACACATTTTCACTACATTTTATTCAAAACGTGCCAGTCTGTTATAAATCAATGACAATATACATCGCCATTTATTTCAAGTGAAAGGTCATTTGGCGGGAAATATTGGAGGGAAGTTTTGCGTCAGTGCGGTTAGGTTGCCAGACGTATAGTGACTTAAAGCAAGCAATTCCGCAGATTAGAGGTTGCAATCCCTCACAAACTAGCAACCTTGGCCAATATTGCTAGTTTACATATACAAAATCTGAATACCATACGGTACCAAGTTTGGAAGACAGTACTCACTTTGGGTCGCCAGACCGCAGACGTAAGTCACGGGAGCGCGGAGTATTGCGCAAATAATGGAGTAATTTTTATCTTTTGGAAAAACCTATAAATATAACCTGTAGAGTATGTATAGAGCAGTTATAGCGTAGTGGCTTTAGCGTGCGTCTCTCATCCCTGAAGGTCGTAGGTTCGAAACCCAGCTGTTCATCAATGGACTTTCTATGTGCACATCTAAAACTCGCTCGTATGGTGAAGGAAAACATCGTGAGGAAATCGGCATGCCTAAGACCCAAAGCTCGAAGGCGTGTTAGGCACAGATGGCTTATCACCTTCTTGTCTATAAGAAAAAACAAATGATCACGAAACAGATACAGAAATTTGAGGCGCAGACCTGAACAGTACACAGTATACTATAAGTTGTCATCTCTAGACGGTAAAAAACTCGAACCTCTAGTATAACCACCATAATACGTCATAATAAAGCCGTGTTATTCAAGCATGACAAAACTTCTATACACAGCTTAATTATTTTACATTTTATACATTTTTTTACTTGAAGCTATATACTCTCCTACAGTACGATCAGAACCCCTCACGGGTAGGCTCCTCAGCTTTTTCCAAACTCTTGGCTCTCCTTCTCCATTCTGCTTCTTTTCTTCTATCCACCTTTTTTTTTTTCTTACCTTTCCTTCTTCCACTTGGTCCTTTCAATAAAGTTGTCTTTAAGGTCCACCTATTTGTTTTGCTTAAGCCCCGCCACATTTTTTTAGGGCATATGTAAAATCTGTTTTCGCTGTATTTTGATTTTCTTTTTTAACTGCTTCTTTCCATTGCTTTCGGCTTACTAGAGTTAACATGTAATCCACGTGAGAGGTGAAATACATTCCAAGACTAATCTTGAGTAAGATGAATCTCGTTAAGAACGCAACAATATAACTTTAACTATGTTATTCGCCGCGAATAACTAAAGTTCTTCATTTTTTTAATGGGTATAAATTATTGTTGACCAAGGTATAATAGTTTTTAGTGTCAAGGCATTGTAAACAGTGTGTGTAGAAATTTAATGGTTAGTACGAGTTGTTCCAAACAAAATGTAATCACTAAAATTACATTTTAATAAGTATCAACGGCAAATAAACCACCACCCCCCGTTCCTGTTAACGCTTTTTTATATTTTGTGTAACAGAATTTCATAAAAATCGTGCTGTGATTTGTAAACAAGGGTTTATGTTCGTCACAAAACATTATGCTGTACTTAATACACTATTTTGTTAAACGCAACAGATATCATCTTTGTTTTATAAAACAATCAAAAGTAAAAATTTGAATAATGTACAGGGCATGAACAATTGAAATCGCTTGGTGTAGTGTTGTCAAACAGAGTGGAACACGAAAATATTGCATGTCAATTATGTACTTACAAATTTAAGTAGCCAACAGCCATATAAAAACTACAAGACCAAGTCAAATCAAAGAATTGCCATTTATGTGTGCTCTTGAGGGGATGTGACTATTTACTTCAAACGAGGTTATAAAAGTTTAAAAATCTTCAAAAAGCTTAGCTCAGTCCTAACCAGACCTCGAGATTGATTTTATTCAATGGATTTAGTATCTCAATTCTTAATTTAGGTCTTTACAGGCGTATTGCTTTTAGATGCGCTGAATGAATTGAATGGTGAACCGTGTACGTATTTCTATTCGTTGGGAAGTTACGCGTTCTAAACTTACGTGGGTGATTGATTCCTCTGCGCTGAAACAGCCTCTGTACAAATGACTTTGGTAGCGCCAAGGAAAAAGAGATGTTTATTAAGAGTGGCCCGTAATTGTCCTCTTTATTATTTTGAGATTAATTCTGTTGAGGCTTAGAAGTCCCTTTTAGGTGGCATTTTGGACTATTTAGTCTGTGTTGCGCGACCCACGGTGATGTTGGAGTTCTGTGGATCTTTGGCGAATCCAAAACTCAAAAATGGGTAAATAGGAGGTATCTTTATTTATTACTAATGACGCTGTTCATTACATTACAATATTTAAACTAAGTGTAAGGTAAGATATTAGGTTTAAAAAAAAAAAACAATTTTAATTATTTATATGTTCCCAATTACTATCTAAGGGCACGTGTACCTGACAATCATCACAGTTAACTTTACATCTTTTTCCTTTACAAAGTCCTTCACCTTTCCTGGGAAACTCGGAAGGTATATCTGGTGTGAACCAGGGCTTATTTAGTTTATCCAAATATGCATGTTCTAGAAGATTCTGTTTATTGGGAGCTGTTAGGCCTGCCTGGATAAATGATAACAATGCTAGTAGAACCTAGAAGAGGAAAACACGTTTCTAAAAGTTGCAATAACTTACAACCTTACATCGGAGATTACTGCTGAGCATAGATTAGTTCCATCAAGGTTTTTAATATAAATTCTGACTCTTTGACAGTGACAAGTTCAAAAATGACGGTTCGTATATTTTTCAGCCTTGTTTCACAGATAATGTAGTTTTTGTCGAAAAAAGCAATCCTAATTTTTACTAGCTAAACATATAATCGGCAACGTGTAGGAACATAGAATACTTATATCGTAATGGCCTCAAGCATTGTACCCTAAAATGTAAATGTAAACAATTAAACCGCCAAGGGCACATTCGCCAAACAATGGTTAATTAAAATAATGTTTCGTACATGGGAGATGTGTTGGTTAAAGCCATGGCTTTTATGTACTCTTAAATCGTACCTAAAATTTTTGTTTACATAATGTATTGGATAGCAGGATTTTACCTGCACAACATTAAGATTTATTTATAAATTACCAGGGTTATAAATCCAAAGATAAATAACCTCATACCGAAAATATCAGCTTTATTGTTTCACCGGGAATCAAATCCACAGGCTATACGCCATTATAATAAATAAATGGGGCACCTGATGTTATATTACTAAGTTATCTTCTAAGGATCACACGTTTACAAGCGAATCCCTTAATCAAGATTTTAAATTCTTACAGTCGTAGTTTTTTGTATCTGTCAAATACTGTCTTTTTAGAAAAATTGACGACTCGTATTTTGGAAATTTATTTTTATAAATATGTAAGTACATATACAACATATTTGCTTTACAAAATACCTAAAGTGACTTTTTCCTCATTAGAATCAGAAAAAAACCATCATACCTGGTCCTTGTCTCTACATGAAAAAATTCATACGCCTTTAAAACGCCCTACTTATATTATTTTTAAGATTATTTTTAGATCAAAATCTAGTATTTCAACATTTTGCACTTACAGCAAAAGAAAATCTCATTTTTTCTTTACAATACTTACTTCTTCCCATTTAAAACTTAACGCTACTTACAGCATTTCAGCGGCGTGTGATTTTTAATTCGTTTACTTACAGCAAGTTTAGGGAACCTACATTTTGTTTTTTTTACCATTTCGACATTTTATTTCAACCAAACATTACTTCCTACCCTGCATTTCTAATCTAATCATAATTATAAACTAATCTTACATCTTGAATTGCAATTAAAAGTACCCAAATACATAAATTTCCTCTACAGCTATTTACCGCCTTAAATTGATAATATTTCCGCGCGTACATTTTTCTTCCTTAGTTACAGCGTTTTAAAGGTTTGTGATTTAAAAAACTGTTTGCTGAACTAATTACTTATAGTAACTTTGGATAAAAAGTTTACATTGCAAATGGTGACTGGCGTTAAATAAATATATGTTTCAAAAATGGTAGCAATATGGATAGGTCAGACACTATTAATTTTTTCCGAAATTAATAAAGTTTTTGGCTCTGGTGAACAATTGCAATATGTCTACTTACAGCAAATGTGCTTTCCTACTCATATATATTTATATATTTTTCATAAACTAACAGAGAAGAAACAATTTTAATTCTAGTAATACTTACGAATATTTTTAACTTTGCCACAGCTTCCATAATGTGTATTTTACTGATTCGATTATAAAGGATACGAAACTTTTTGACACACAGTTCAATATTATGATCACTGCGGAAGCTTTTATACAATATTTTGGTAACAAATACCGTAAGTGACCCGAATTGGCGGTTATTGATACTATCACAGTTATACAAACAAAGAAATTGGTAATTTGTAATCTTAATTGAAAAACAATCATCAAAATGCAATATTGTCCTTATTGACGTTAATACGACTAAATAATGTATGTTGTAGATACTGTAACAATTAATTCGACTAAAGAAAAAGGAGGTGGGTTAGGTTATTACAGATCCACAGTTGAAAATAGGTTATTCAGGATAAATTCGTGGTACTAGAAACAATAAAAAGGGCATCTACATTTTGTATTTTATAAGTAAAAGTTCTGCTAGAAAACTTCATAAATGATTTAATGGTATTATTACTATGGTAAATGATAGTGCTGGGCAAGTTGGTGTTTGTAAGTTATCTGTCTACTTCACTATATTTTTCCAAAACCAATGCAATCCATGTAATTTTTTACATTTATGTAATTCACAGAGTATACAATAGTCATAAAAATTACATTTGAAAACTACTGTGGTTTGTAGTATGGCGTATGAAAATATACTTACTGACCGGTCTATTTAGTATCTAACGTAAAAATACAGAATAGTAATCTTTGATCGTTTTACTTAACATAGAGGAGTTAAATAAATATTTTAATCATATGAAATTATATATTTCTTATTACAACGATAAAATATTAACTTAAACATCTATGGGTAAGATTCAGAACCGAGATCTAGCGCTAAATCCGAGTCCCTTGCGTCAAAAATGTATTGATAAAGAGGCGTCATTCTTCGCGCTGTCTCCTTTCTGAATCGCTAATTATGTATCTGTCAAAAAAACCTGTGAAATACTAACTGTAACTGATGTAAATATTAGTTTTAGTACAGAATTCATTCACTAGATGGCGCTAATTGCAAATTTCATGTTTTATTAAGTTTTGTTATTTTGTGCGGAAAGTGAATTGACGTGGGATTTGAGGCCTTCTGCAATGCTAGGTATATATTTTTTATTGTTACGTCATCATACTTCAACATATACTTATCTTATATTGATACTTAATGTGAATAAATCAAATGACGCATAGCAAATAGGAATAATATTCGATAGCATAACCGCCACACAGTTTTTGTTTCCGCACATACTATTTGCGAAGGATGCCTGATTCTGACCTTTAGAAGTGAATGACCTCAAGCATCATAGATTTCTTTTGGCAATAATATTTACGAGTACAAGTTATATCGCAATTTAATAGTTTAAATAAACATTTTCACAGGGTACATATAACAATAATGGCACTTTTGAAATTATAGCTATAGGAGATATATATATCTAATACTCGTTACAACAAATAGCATAATATGTAAAATCTAGATATTAAACATTGCGAAATATGCCTCAATAGTTTGTGAAATCAAAAATAAGGGTAACTAATACATACATTTTAATATTAGTAATTAGTGTATAAACACAATTCCATTTTCAACATTGTGGCTATGGAATGTAAAAGAATTCTTTCTTTTTTCAAATATTTAAAAAGAAAGACATTCTTTTTTACAAAAACATTTATACAAAACAATTTTTCGTAATGTCACAGATAATTTGTTATCTGTAATTTTATGTTCAAAATACATTAAAATTATATTTTCGTTCGCGGGTCATTCTGCCATTCTATATTTAAAATTAAGGTATGTTAACTGACGGTTTTCATTATATCTAATATTGTTACGGTCTTATCTATAGTTTTGGCACACTGGACAAAGGCACCAATTTTGGACGCTTTATATATATTTAAAGCGTTATCCGTCTAAAGCTATATCATATATGTAATATCTCTCAATATATGGAAAACTAAAAAGTCGTTACTGTTTTCTTTAAAACACAATTTTGTTACTGATTAACTTTAAGGTATCATTTATAATAACATAGAATTAAGTTTTATTTAGAACAATTTTATTCATAAACATACTTACGTAGCCGAGGACAAAACATATAGCCTCTTATTTATAAAATAAGTCAGACTAATTGCACCCGTTTAAACTAAAGTACTCACCTGTCTCTATTTATCTCGGCTTAAACATACATTGACAGAAAGAGACGAAAATGCCATAAAGTTAGAATTTATGAATATATAATATTATAAAGAGGAAAGATTTGATTGTTTGCATGGAATAAGCACAAAAACTACCAGACCGATTTGAAAAAATCTTTCAGCATTACCTACATATTCCTGATGAGAAAAGGCTCTAGAATATTATCAAAATAGCTAGAGATCGTATGAAAACTTTGATAATGTAACAGGATGTGAGAAATAGCAATCAAAATCCCTATATCGATATATATGATAAGTGATGCTACAGTTTTGTAGAAGACATATAGTATGTCTAACTATTACATAAAAATAAATCTCAAAATATTTGCTAAGCGCAAAACTCAAGGGCGGCTTGTTCAATTCGAGGATTTTTTAATTTATTTCTTGAACTCTGAGGTACGTTTTTATGGATATTGAAAAAAATTATAGGTTTTTATTTCGGTAAAGCTATGTTAAATAATCATGTGGGTAGTTGAATAATGTCATGCGGGTAGAAGCGCGGGTGCATGAATTTCAGAACGCATTTGCCTCAGCGTCCTGCGACAGGACAGACGTCTCGACCCGAGCCGTGGGAAGCCGTTAATACGCTCAACTTTTACTGGAATTTCTCGGCTGAAAAAAAAATAATTTAATTTATAATTCAGATTATTTTGTCAGAAAACTGTTGTGTGGCATGTGATTCACACCAATAGGTGACCTTTGTCCAGGTTCTAGGCAATTATAGAACATGCGAATTTTTAAACCTAAAATCATGCAAACAAATATATAGTGCTAAGTTTCATTTCTGAATGATACCACATTTCACCCTAGACCCAAAACTTCGATGTTTATCAGTTTCCTTCCTCCAGGTTCTTAAGGTACCTTAAGAAGAATTATCAATGATACTGTCACATAAATGTATCTGCTATATTCCATCGACTAATAAGATGTGATAAAAACTCTTACCGAAAAAACATATGATGTTCCACGCTACATCTCCACAATCGTTTGCTCGCAGTGGATGAGGGTAGTTTAAAAGTCAAGTGTGTTTCGAACTCGTCAAACTCACTGGGACGCAAACGTAGCGTATATGAACGTTTATTGTAGCTGATTTTAAGGATTTTGGTCCATGGGAAACGATTCATTATCACTCTGCAACGAAATTATAAGTATTATATGTATTTTTTTCATGTTACACTGAGCAAACGGGCTCATCTGATGTTAAGTGATACCGCCGTTCTTAGACACTTACATTGCTAGAGGGCTTGCAATTGTGTTGACAGCCTTCTAAGAATTGGTACGCTGTTTATTCTGCACCTTTATATTTCTAAGGAAGTGGGGATGGGCTCCGGGAATCTCACTCACCGCTTGAAACCCGAGTATAATTAGGTAAACCGATTGCATCATTTCACGCCGGTTTCCTGTGAGACAGTGGTACTGCCCCTGTCGTGCCTGTCCATTTGGCTGAAGCCCGAAGGCAACAGCATGACACTCCCACTAGGAGGGAGGTTGTATGATTGGGCTGGTAAACACACAGGTTTTTTTACCAGGCCGTCACATCCCGACGCCGACAAAATATGTAGGTACGCGTGCTTAATTTATTTATATAGGTACTAGCTGATCCGGCAAACGTCGTTATAAGTTTATCATTTATAATAAAAAAAAATAGGGGTTGATCGTAGAGGAGTGAAAATTAGGGGTTGTATGTATTTTTTAATGCTGTATCATAAAAAAAACTTAATTTTTTTATCTAAAATTAAAAAATAAAATTTAGGGGGATGAAAAATAGATGTTGTCCGATTCTAAGACATACCCAATATGCACACAAAATGTCATGAGAATCGGTCGAGCCGTTTCGGAGGAGTTTAACCACAAACACCGTGACACGAGAATTTTACAGTAATGAATTTAAAAATATATGTTTCTATACAATATACATATATATGTACAAAGGAGTGGTGGAGAGTTTATTGCAATTAGTTCTTCTCTTCCGTTCTAAGCCCTTGTTTTGAGAACTGGCAGTAAATGTAAAATTAGAATCATTTCATATTTTTTGACGTTCATATGTGTACATTTTGTTACCTATACGAATAAATGATTTTTGAATATTGATTTTTTTGAATATGTCTATTACTATCAGTCTTAGAGAGTGGTATACAAAATTTTAAATTAAAATAGCTTTAAAGAAACTTTTCTTAGGCCATAGAACGCCAATAAGGTGTAAAAAATTTTTTTTTTTAAATTTAAAAAAAAGGCACGCGCTCAAGACGTGATTGGCTAGACCTAAGCGAGGCTGGGTCATGGCTGGACCTAATTGGCTATGTTACATTAAATTAACTTTAAGTAAAAAACTTCTAGTAACGAAACGAAATCAGTACGTTTTTGATATATTATATCAATTTAACAATTCTAAGTGAAGAACACTGTGGTCGTGTGGTTAAGAAATTGTAACTCTACCTTCATAACAAAAAACACTAGCTTTTTGGACTTACCCATCTCTCAATACTGTGATCCCAGCGGCCGATACAGCTATATTAATATCGACATCTTCAGAGTCCTTCGCTTTATGGACTTCAGCGCCGTATAAAGGCAATCGTTTTGCGTTTTCTAAGTAACTCAGTTCTGCATCCGCTGGAGTTTGGCCTCTGACAATCGAGTGAAAATTTCGTGTATGTATCGTTAGCTATCATAACAGCTTTTACAGTTAGATATTTAGCTTAACAGAGATCTATATAGTCTCTTAATGCAATAAAATATAGCCCATACATACGATACCACAACCGTGCTAGGACCGCCTTTGTATCGGCACTGGCAGAATATTCTCGACTTTTAACGCCTCGACGGATTTGGTAGATGACGAAAAGGGCTACCTTTTTCATCATTTAGGCGGCAATCGAGCAGGGTCACTAAGGCTAGGTTCACACGGCATTGTCCTGCACGTTTTCTTTGTATTTGTTTTTTAACGTACTTTCACCCGGGTATTCACATGGTAGATTTTTATTCGTGTAAAATACGAACTGCGGCTAGCAGTCTTCACACAGTTGTCACAGTGAGCGAGAACGAGACAGAGCTATATTATGTGCCCCTTTAAACCGAATTAACGTTAAAGTTCATTCGATTTGCTTGACAAGTCCGTTGAGTATTCGTTTGAAGGTATAAACGGTGTACGATATTTTGCTGTACAAACGCCGTTTGAATGGGTCTATGTACAAAACATGTGCCACTATTTATTCGTTAAGACGTATACTGCAAAAAAACGTGCAGGACAATGCCGTGTGAACCTGGCCTCAGTGCCTAAGGAGACCTACAGCACCAGAAGCCTTGCAAGTGCGTTGTCTGCCTTTAAGGTACGCTCTTCTCTTGAAGTTCCATAAGTCGTGCTTGGAAATAGCTGGAATGGCTTTCCTCTACAAACACGGTCCTAGCACGGTCATGGTATGACGCTGTAGTGCGGACTAAACTTACCTATGCTTAGCATACAGCTGTTCTATATTATCTTGCTGTCTCTCGTTAAGAACGTGAAACGGTATCGCATTGTGTTCGCATAATGTGCTAGTGCTAACCGCCCCTTGCTTGTCCCCCAACTCCGCTTGTAATACGTATGACGCAAGGAGAGCATACGTTATATGGGAGCAGACGAGACGGCCTGCAAAAATGTATGAAAATAAATGAAGGATGTGTGGATAGGCGTTCAAGTATTACGTCACGCAATTTTTGGAGATTATTGACACCCCCCCCCATGTAACGCGCCGTAACATTTTTATTTACCCAATAGTAAAACGTTTCGTGACCACCCAGTGACTCTTTATACCTAAAACTTACCATTATGTGGTGTAAAGTAGTGGAAAATGGAAAATAATATTAACAATAACGCGTAATTCAATTCCCGCCCCGCATCGTAACGTTTACAAATCCTTCCCCTCCCAAAATTCGTTACGTTATACTTGAACGCTCCCAAGCCCAAATCTACTGGTCCGAAGTTATTCACCTTCCATAAGGTCCCGCCTTACTGCAAGGCTGAGTTGATATCGTGTGATGTCATCGTATAACTCAGATGGCTCCGGGGGATAGAACTTTACAGCTAAACGAACGTCCCACGGCTCATCTAAAAAAAATCAGTCAAATCAAATCTCGAAGTTTATTACAATTAAACTCAGTACAACGTGACGATTTTAACTGATAGGGCTCTAGGGCAGAGGCCCCCGACCCAAGAGGGGCCCGTGGCATTTTGCCAGCTCTGCCACCTAGTACACCTATTACATATTAATATGACATTTGCATGCCTATTTTAATATGGCTGATTGTGCGTTTTATAATTAATCAGTGTATGTACCAATTTCTTCTTCTTTTTCACCGTATCAGGGACTCAAACTGCTCTTTAGCGTTCTGAGTGGTTATAGGAGTTAACAATTTTGCTTAAGAACTATGCTGTACTGTGTTAAGACCAGGATAAGGGAGCGAGTTGAATAATGGTCAGATTTTTTCTTGCGTTTGACATTTCGCTTGATTGCGATAAAAATTTCTGAACTAAGATTCTATGTACATATAACTTTATAATTCAATTAAGGAATATATATTATCATACTTCTAAAGGTCTTCGAAAGTCGTCGTCCCAGGTCGACCCACACTCGCGGATCACCGCGCTGTGCGTGCAACAGTCCAAAGAAATCCTTCTCCAAAATATCCAGGGTATCGCACACCTTGTCCAGGAGATCAGCACCACTAGCTTTACGCTGGAAAATTAAACAGAATTATATATAGGTATAGTATATTTTTATAAGATACACATTTAAAAAAAAATGTATTAAATCTAAAGGTATAAGTCATATAAGCTTAATACAAATAATTCAATCAATAACCCTTGTACATCTTTTTATGCTAGCGTATGGGCATTTCATTCGCGTGAGGCTGTCTCCAGATATATGACCTAATGAGGCATAACAAAATAAATGATCTATCTCTTTTCATCATAGCGTAAATATAATTGATCAGAAATAGACAAATGAGTCCTACACAATATATAAGTTAAGATCGCATTAGAACTGTTTTCTTTTTTACAATATTGGAAGGTCTACAGATCTGTTTTTGAAAAAGTTATTTATTAATCTACTTTTTATAGACACTATTACACACATTTGATCTGTTTTAAAAAGAAATAGGGATGTTGTCGTTGATCATACAGTAAGGCCTAACACAATATGCAGGCAGACTGTATCTACCCGCTCACCATCCGCAATCGAAATAAAAAGTTAAATGACTGTGGAGGTAAGGAGAGGCTTCTAAACACACCTTACGCAGATTGGGAGAAACTACTGAGTATTAACATGTAGTTACAAATTCATACACATTACACTCACACATTCACTTACATGCACACTCACTTATGCATTCAAGCGTGTTACGAGTGGAGTAATGCTTTTGTGTTAAAATGAAGAAGTTGTATTAACCAGTTTTGATTTCAAAATTGTAATTTAAAATATATATTCAGTTTATTATGGAAGAGATGGGATCCCTGACACAGGTATTTTTACTTAAAAGGGCTCGCAAATCATATACATTGTAATGCATTGTTATGAATAAACACATTTATATTTTATTTTACATACCTCAATATCTATTGTAATATGTTCCCCATTAAACAGCTCAACGCGAACTCGTCCCGTGCCAGTCCTGCGCAGTCCCACCATACTGGTGCCTTCGTCTGACGCCAGCCGGCGAAGACTTTCGCGCATTGTATGTCTGCAATACATGTTCATTAAACATATTTTTCACTTCAGCAAACGCATCTAATTGACTCTGAAGTATTTCCAAACACATTCGATGCAGGTTCCTTCAAGAAAAGAGCGTACCAGTTCTTAAAAGACCGGCAGTGTGTAAGCCTTCTGGCAATGTGGGTGTCTCTTAACATCAGATGAGCCTCCTAAAAAAAACTTGCTGAGTTTCTTGCCCGTTCTTCTCAAAACAAGGCCAAGGTTTTGCGAACGGATGGCGTAGTCTTGCTCTTTCGCGAATTTTGTAAACGTTTTTGACATTCATAAGCATGCCCTAAGACGCATCTAAACTGAATAAACGTATTTTGATTGATTGATTGATTGATAAAAATAAATAAAAGTACATAATAGTCTACGTGGGCACGGTTGAAGATTTTTTTTATACATAGTCTTTACCAAGACTTCATGGAACATTACGATCTAGCCTAACTTAAGACTAATAAGTAATTTAAGCCTAACCTAATTTAATAATAAGGATATATAAAATAAGAAAGCTTACAACAACTATTTACAGTCTCTATTAAAGGGAAGATACTCTGTTCTTGTGTTCTATTTTTTCACTCACTGATTAGCATTTAATACTAACGTACACTAGCACTAATTCACTACTTCAAATGGTTTTGTCCTTTTCAGTGTTTGAAATGACTCGGTTGAAGAATATAAAAAATATCGTAAATTTGCGAAACTAAACAATTTTAAACATTAAAACAATAAATACAAACTAGTCTTTCTTATGTTATAATTGCTTATTTTTGCGCTATGTACAAATATGTACGGACTTATTTACGTGATAGATTCTTTACTTTGCTTTTTTAAATTGCGTGTGTCTGGTAAACGCCGTGAAACTTCCTCGTTTATTATCCGATTTAACACGCTTAGTAAGCATCTGGAATGAAACAGATTGGAAATATTTTGAGTCAAATTGGCATAGCGTTTTTTGCATCCAGGATAAAACTGATCTCTCTCCCTCTCTTTTCAATCGTGGTCAACAAGGAAACATCTGGAGCGAACCACGATCAGTTTCTCCAAGTTCTCATCGCCTCCGCGCAATGTATGGCCGAAACATGATATAAACTGATCTACATGCGATCAGCTATAAAGCAGTGTAAGACTAAAAGAGAAAAGAGGCATTCTGAATTTAATATTAACTCCAAGTTCCTGTCTGCATAGGCTACTGGCCAGATGGCTACCGGCCATCACAAGTACTTTATAAAATGATCGTAGCTTCGAGCGCTATTGGAGTGGATATAAATCAATATAGACTCGTTTTACTGCCAAACTTTTGCCAAATAAGATAGCGAAAATCACATGTTGGGTAAAAGTTCCTGTTTGAAGCAGTAGGAGCCTCTTCGCAGTATGGTTGATCTGATATCAGAAGTTCCCTAATTTTTGAATTTAATTAATGTTTAATTAATGTTTGAATATAAACAATGAAGAGATAATGTTAATAGTTAGTGTCTATGGCGTTAAGCAATGTTTTTTTTTACTTTAGCTTATTTTGTTTTGAATTTTCGGGAACGTCGTTAAAGTTACTAAACTAACTATAACGTAACGGTGGATGGTGATAGTTTTTTTTTAAATATAATGGCTAATCAGCAGTGTCTCCCCTTTCCTTAAAAGGGACTTCTAATCCGGAAATATCCTCATGATATTTATGGGCGAGTCGGAGCCCCGTCACCTCTTGTACTATTCTTAATGATATACATAGTTTTTTTTTTAAATAAAAGTGCGTGCGTACAAAGTGTACAAACCTACACATGTCAGAAGTGAAACTTCTTTGGCAAACTAATTTTTAAGTCTTGTTCATATTTATACAAATCTAAAACTTTAGAATTCCGAGACATAGAGGGTCCCTCCCTATATTAAGATATGTTAGGAATTTAATGAAATTTGAATTTAAAAAAATTGTCATTAAAATGTTGTGTCGACAATTAATACAAGTAATAAATTTTTTTTTAAATTTATTTCTTCTATAATAAAAACACGTGGAATTTTTTTTTTAAATTCGTCATTTGAGATTTCAATAAACTATTTTGCGTAAAAAATAAAATGCTAATATTTCATAAATTCTCTTTACGAAATTCGAATTTTAAAAATAGAATTTCTATAAGGTAATTCCCCCTTCTCACTCTCTCTCAATCGGTCTCAATCGCACTCTCCCTTTTCTTCGACAAAAATTCTGCACATCTTGACGCTAATACTATTATTATTGCGTTTCATCCGTAAAAAATTTACCCTCTAAAGAAGTTTCACTTCAAAAAGGTTATAATATTGTGAAGGAACCAACTAAATATAGTTTTTCTGTCCACCAGTCCACATTTAGTTCAGACACTTAGGTATCAAACAAATATAGAAATTTCTGTTTATGTAAAGTAAGAATTCTTATCTTGGTTAAATAATAAACAATTGAACATTCCAACGAACCCTTCATTTAATTTTCAGAGTTTCGTATAAACAACAATAATTTCTGATCTTCAAATAGATTAATAGATTCTTCAATACATTTATGTAAACAATATGACGTTAGTAAGCCAAGGTACTCCAACAGAACATATCTTTTAAACAACAAAATTCAATTGCAGAAGAGACTTCGCAAACTAAATTTACATTTAAGACACAACTAACACAACCAATGAACCTGAATTACTTTTAGCAATACGTATTTTTATAGTAAGTAGTTTAGTTAAGTGATTTTAGATGACGGAAATCGTGTAGCAAATTGAGAAAAAATTACGAGATTATAAAATGAAATAAGTCAGTGGCGCTACAACCTTTTTTTTAAGGTCTGGGCCTCAGGTTTCTTTTTCTGTTTCATGATCATTTCTTAATCTAATAGGCCACCTTGCCTTTCAGCCTGACACGGACGCCCGACGACGTTTTCGGTCTACGGCATGTTTTACTCACGATGTTTTCCTTCACCGTTTGAGCAAATGTTAAATGCACACAGAAAGAAAGTTCATTGGTGCACAGCAGGGGATCGAACCTATGACCTCAGGGATAAGAGACGCACGATGAAGCCACTAGGCCACTGCTCGTTTTTCTATTAAGTGAAATAAATATAGCATATCGATTGGGGGCTTAGTCAGATCAAATGAAATCTAAGTGGCTTGACCTTTGAAGCCAGAATAAGAAACGTTTATAGGAAGTATAGGTTTCAATATTTGAATGAGAATAACTCCTATTCAGGCCTAGTATTTGCCTTCAACCCTGAAGTCGTGAGGTCCGATCCCGTCTAAGTTGGATTTTTCTTTTCTAGTACGACATCGTGAGAAAACCAGAATAAAATTGTCGACGTGTGTCAGACACATCAAAGAATGACCAAATGTGAGGTTCTAGTACCTTTGAACATATATTTTAGTTTATGTAATATATCAATATTAAGATATAAGTAACCAACTCGTCAATAAACAGCAAAATTTTCAGGGGCCTATGGGGGCACGGCAATTATTATTATTATTAGATTTAAAAATGATCATGAATCAGCGCTGTAGCGCCACTGATTTATTAATTTTTATATGGATCTAGACATATACATAGATATAACATTTATTGGTAACAAAACACACACACAACAACACACAAAATAATAATAAAAAATAACAATGCTAAATAAAAATAAGAGTGTAATGCGTGTCTGTTGTGGTTGTAATTGGCCCTGGCTCAGCATTATGCTGAGGAGCAGACTGTTCCACAGCGCTGGTCATTCTGCCAGAGACCATAGCAGCTAGATTGCGCCTCAGACGCAAATAAAAGAAAAATAATGTAATATACTCTTAATTAGTAGAAAAAAATAATAATAATAATAATATTAGTAATAGTTATAAGTAAAAGTAATGAATCTCACAACTTTTTACGGAAGAAATACAAGACTTGGTTTTGTTTTTACAAGAAAAGCTTTTGATGGCATTAATTTTTAGCCAATCTAGCAAAACTAGCTTTCTTCGTAGTGTGTAGAAACGTTTAAGCGCTAGTCTTTGAAATCCGCAGCCGCAGTACCTAGGCTCTGTGCCAATTCAAGTTTGTTTTCTCTGCTACTACTGATTTTACGAGTTTACACATCTGTCGAATTTTCATATCTCGGTATTTCGAGAGCACTTCGATGAGGCTAAAATAGTTTATTGATATGCGCAAGGTTGAACAACAAAGGGTTTTAGAACGAAGATTTCTCAATACAGAAAGCGATTTTCAGTTACTACGCAATTACACTACTACATAAATACGGAAAAGGCAAAAGTAAACGACGTTATATAAAAAATTAAGAACTTTAAAATTAAGGGTTGTATGTATTTTTATATGTTGTATCATAAAAACAGTATTTTTTTTTTTTTTTGGTGTGGACACCCCCTATCTTTCAAACCCTTAAGTGATAAACTTAGGGGTTTGAAAGATAGTAAAGCCGATTCACCGACTTACTGAATATGCATAAAAATTTCATAACAATCGGTCGAGCCGTTTCGGAGGAGTATGGGAACGAACATTGTGACACGAGAATTTTATATAGCCGATTGTCTGATACTAACAAAAAAGCAAAAACTATAAGAATCATAAATATAAATTTAAATTATGTTCCCTTATTAGCAGTAAGTCTATTGGCATCAGCATGTGGCTCTCATACCATTTCATGCTGGACTTTCTTTCTGTCTATGTGCGCAACCCGAGTACGGTGAAGGAAAACATCGTAAGGAAACCGGCATTGCCTTATAGTACGGGAGGTAGCAACGTTTTCGAGAAAGAATTTCAGGTCAGCTGATCTTGTGATATGTCTTCCGTCTTGCACTTTCGGTTAGAGTCTGGGCTATCTGGCTGGCGGTAGCGGTTGCGTTCATTAGTGCGCATCCTACCGGTCCAGGTAATAATCCTGGATTTTAAAAGCATTTTAAGAAGCGTAATTTTTAAATAAGTCTACCTGACATACTTTTTTTATTGCCAGATATTTTTGACAATGTTAACTATGTGCCAGA